GCTGAATGAGTTGTACTAAAACTGACTTTAGTCCAGCCTCAAGCCAGCAACCACACCTTTGGAAATTCCTAAACAATCAACTTCCCGTCCACCCAACACTTCTGAGACACCAGATCATTCCCAGGAGGCTATGGTTGGTGCACTGCAAACAGATTTGGTCACTATGGATTTATTGCTGAAGGCCAAATAATTACGGCTGAAATCTACTTCATGCAGAAAATCCCGAATGTGGGCAAGAAAAACTTCTTCTTGAGAAATAGTTCGGACTACTCAGTCGACGGAAAGGAAGTCCTATTCATATAGGGCAGAGCATGGACTTGTACCTCTGAAAAACGTGGCCATGAGAGTTTTGATTTATAGTGATGCTACTTTGTCCCCGTCCTTATTTTCATCCTCATCTTCCGTATTTCCCTCACGATACTTTCTTAGGTAATGACTATCATCTTTCCTTAGTATTAAGCAATCATGCGTGAAGTTGACAGCTAGGAAATGAAACTAGGGTAGAAATGGTGATGGTAAGTTTTTTTAGTGTTCGGAGGACATAAACATTTGATAGAAAAGGCACCCATAGCAGTCTTGTTTTGCCCCGTTGGGAAAGGATTGCACCCTGTAATGGTGGTTGCTTCAAAGAATAGAGCACTCTATGAAACCATCTGCGATTATTCATCGTTTGGTTGTCTTATGGCTGACTTCAGTGTCCTCCTTATGGATTAGCAGACCATTATTCAAATGCATTGTACCACGATGTTTTAAGTGATTGCATAAGGTCTTCAAAATTGTAACTCTTTGAAGGTGCAACAACACTATGTGCTACATTCTGGCCGTTTTGAAAATACCCATTTGTCGAATTCCAGAGTCGCCATTGGGAATAAGTTTCTAACGTGTATGTTATACATTTAACACGATGAATTCGAGCCATCTTTATTTTGAAGCGGTATAACTTGGAAATATGGCGTCAAAAGACTACATTTCTTCATACATTGACATTTTGTGATTCTCATGTCCTTGCAATAAAGTTTCATATCATATAAATGTGTAATTTACGAAGAATCCAGATGTGGTGGTCCACTAAACAACAATGCCACAAAAAGAAATTAGAAAATCAGTCTTGGCCAGTCTAATTTCAGGGTCAGTTTCGGATATCGTGATTGGTGAAAACAACCTATTAGTATACTGGTTTGTAACTTTAAGTTTGATAATACGCACAACTGTTTGTTTGAATGCACACACACTGCCAAGTTGAAAATAAAATTTCTGCATAAAACTGGTAACGTTGTGCAATGGCATATCATTGATGCCACAGTTAAAACTTAAACTGCCAAGCCGGGTGTAGGCGAAAATCAACAACAAGCTCTTATTTACAATGCCATTTACATTTTAACCCAAGTGAGGCGTCCCTTTTGCACTTAATTGGCATGCACTTCCACAGCAATTTAGCCTGAAATTCGCGCTTCCCTTCCACCCATCTCCCTTATAACTTGGCCCAATGTGACCCCATCAAATGTGCTGAAGAAGAAGAAGAAGAGAAGGAAATGGCACAGAAAATCCTATTAAGGCCTTCCCACCCGCCTCCTGACGTGCGACCTTCTTGCTCTCCAGGCCCATACTCTCGGAGCGATGTGTTTGTACTTGCGGTTAATTAGCGCGAAGGATAACAAAACTTTATCTTGATGTTTGCAAAGTACCCGGTCAATTAACGCGCCCCTTACCATTAAGATACATTACAGATTTACTACCATCGACTTGTTTTTGTTCGGAAGTGTGCCCATATCTTCTCGAACTTATGCATCAGATTAATGCATAAAATTTACCACACCTCTAAAAGAATTCAAGAACAGTTTGGTAGTAGTTAAGGCTTTATCAATGAGTACGTCGCTCATCATTCAAGTGAGTGTGAACTTTCAGTGGCTGAATCGCTGTTTTAAAAATAACCTCAAAGTGGGACGAGATTTTTGGGATTTGCTCTCAGCGATGGCGAAACTTAATTGCCTTGGGTGAATCGGCGTGTCTGACAAGGAATCTCGATCGTTTTGTTCCATGTGAGCACACAAATAACATTTTACTACGATAAGTCGTAGAGACCCACTTTGTCTGATTACAGACAGATTCTAAGTTTAATCGGTCCAGTGTGAACGCATCTAAGAGACAATGTGGGCCTACGTTTGTTGTCTACATACCTACACACCTTTTGCACGTAGACACAATGAATGAATCAACGATTCCTTTTTTCAGTCCTTTCTATACATATTGTCACTGTGCTGGCCAGTCACTGAAGCGGAAAAAAAACGTCAGACACTAAATGCACAGTTTCACAAGCTTGCAGTGGACGTATTCGAGGCAGAAGCACAAAAACAAGAGCTGGCAGAGTGGGCCCACTGGTAAAAACGGCAACAGTAATGGGTGGAGGGAATACAGTAGAAGACGGAACTATAAGTGGTATGCAAAGACGAGGTGCAGGGGCACTGCATTCGACTGCGATAAACGGGCTTATTAGCATGCTATAATAAACTACAACTAGTAGGTCTTCCTAAGATGTAGATCATCCAAATTTTAAGACAGTGCTGTACGTCGATGACATAGTGGGGAATTGGGATTTACTAGAGGAATGATTGTTGAACCTTCCCTATCCAAACACTTTTTACAGTGAAAAAATATATCAACTTCATATAAAATTTAATAATTTCTCCCTAATGAACAAAAATTTTCTTCCCTAATTGGGACATGGGTGCAAATTATCCTCACGGAATTCCTGACTAGTGAATCCCACTTGACTGATAAGATGAAACCTTAAGTATCCTTAATTAGGTTCCTCAAGTGTAAAGTCAGGACTAAGCGTTTGGTTAAAAGCATCAACTCGACGCTCCAAAAGACCCATGAGGCAGTTCCAGTCAAAGGCCACACCTTGCTTGCCCTTTCGTCAAACACAACTGAGTTCGTAACGGTATGCAGTGAGAAGAAGTGTGAGGTCAGGGACACATGCTACCAATAGGAAAAAGCACAAGTAGTGCACATTCGTTGTGCTTTTATCTTCAAATTTGCTTATCAATTACCTACCTTGATTGATTACAAAAACAGCTAAATCCGTCATGAAAGGGTTGAGTCTGTGACGAGCCGATGATAAACGCAAAAATAACTAGTTCCAATGGGCATGGTGAGGGTGATTTAACTGATTAACGGTATTTCCAAGAAAATCTATTTTCGCTATTAATCTGGGAATGTTTAAAACTGTGTTTGGTTTATGTTAATTTTGGGGTCATTGTCTGATTATGTTTCCATATTAATACCCACTTTTGGATCAAATAAACAGGTCTTGGACCTTCCATGTCGTACAGATCCACACTACATCCAAGTCCTCCGAAAATACATTCCCATAAATAAGGCCCGTGTATCAGCTAAGCAAGTCCTTTAGATTTTTAAGTAAAGCACGGTTCTCTATGTATTTCTGCCTGCTTCAGTGAAAAATCATGCAAAAACATTACTAAAGTAAGTCTTTAACCATGCGTAAGTAGCAATTACTACAAAACTATGCTACATACTATAGAACTTTACTAACTTTATCGTATTTTACCAAATAATGACCTGGTGCGAGTGCTTTGTGTGCCAATTAGCAGATGGTGTAGGGAACCGTCCTTTCGAAATTATCTCCCAAAATGGAGGGTTGACCTAAGCATGGCAAATTAATGCGCCTAACTGGGCACCATACTGGTTTAATCTTTGTTTACTTAGAGTAGAGCACCTAGTAAGGCTCTGACAATCGAATCGACGTCTTCATGTACCTAACCAGTGGGAAAGGAGATCCGACGAATCAGATGAATCCCCTCTGGGGGGGGCTTGGAGGATGTGGGATGGGATAGAGAGGGGTGGGTAAGCCGTATACCTGCCGCGGCTCATCATATAGGGTTGACCTCAAGACAACCCTCTGCGAGTGATTCACTGACAACACGCATCGTGATGAAATCGTGACCGAAGCTTCTTTGACCTCATTAACCGGAACCCCCAATCTTACAAGTAAGTGGCAGGAGCAACACCTTGCAGGTACCGAAGACCCTACCACACAATATGATACCTTTTTAATGCAGGGGCTATTACGCGCACATATTTAAAATCTACACCAAATTACAACCATCTTTGTGGAAAATGGCTATCAGCTCTAATCCCTCGAGTAAAGCATGTCAACGCTCGGCAAGAAATTATGGATTAATTTGATTTCATCCAATATTTACACCAAGTAAACAGTCAGTGAGAATAAGGCTAGTGCTACCTTTAGCCAATTACACTGGTAGTTTGAAGTGCGATATGCTTGGAAGGAAACAAGTTGAAAGCGAAAGGCCCACGATTATGTGGGTTTTCATTACAACGCAAATAACTAAGTTAAAATACACAAAGCCACGTTCCGGTAAACTTTACATTTTAAAAGGTCAAACTTGGGAGTGGGAACACCAGGCATCACAGCTCATGACAGCCTGAAACCGACGCAGTTACCTAACTTTTGGGTTGCACTGTTTGAAGAGCTGTGCTGGGTAGCAGTGCGCTCCCAGCCTTAGGGTTCGGTGTGGGCTGTGTAAACTGCTTCTACTGCACAATTTTTAGTAGGCCGTATTTCCAGTGCAGTCCTCTAAAGGCAGACCCTTACGCGCTTGATTAGTGACACGGTTTGGTTCACGATACTGGCTGATTATTTTTTTGTGCTGAAAGGAGAGAGTTAACTTCCGCTTAAGAAACTCAATTTTCAAGAGTTTAGTGGTTTTGGATTCGCGAAGCTACCTCTTGATCGTTCTCTGAAGAGGTTTAACTAAGACCTACAACTTTCAAGCGACATATTTGACCTTGGGTCGAAGACGCCGCAAGCACCATAACCGTTTCCGCAAAAAGCAGACGATGAAGCAAAACGCGTTATTTAGAACGTCACAACGCCTTCTTGAAAAAAAAAAATAAAATAGTTCGGGAAGTGGCCGTCAACTGTACAACCATATCTAACACCAAAGAGGGTACAACAATACCTACGATCGCAGAAAGGGTTTGTTCTTTGCTATGAATTTGTCCAACTGGTCCCAGACACTTTGGAAGTTGACTTTGTCCAAGTGGCGCCGTCTATCCAAATTGATTACATGGACATTCCACTTTGCCACGTTCGGGTCCAGAGGCATATTTGCATACTTTATGTGGAACCCTTTGACTAAAATGGAAAAAAAAAATGCACATTCAGTTCAACTACATTCAACATTGACAAAATGGTTAACAGTACGTTGTAACGCAACAAGATACACAGTGTTAGCATAAATAGTGTGATAATCAGCTACAGGAATTTTACCAGTCATGTAAATATAAGAAGTGCAATGTAAGGTACCTTAAGGCCGAATCGATGCCTCATCAGGAAAGGGTATTTACGTAACTAGGCTGAACAAGAAGCACAGAACGGGATGGTGTGGCAAGAACAAATCATACCAACAGAAAAGATGACTGCTGGATCTCCACCATGAGGCCAACCCTTGAATTGCCAAGCCTGACCCTGCACAAAGACAGCCACCACCCGGTTCCACTCATCCGGCTGCAGTCTATTCGGCTGATCAATAACACGATAGGGCACCGTTCGACCATCGGGCTTACGACGGTGTATTAAAAGTTCGTTATCACGCTTACAACCCTGATTTCGCTTCTCCTCGGTGGAGACAAATTGGAGATCCTGGAATACCCACAGAGAATATGACAAAGTAAACGTCCTAGTAAATTTTGATGAGCAAACAGCGGAAGTTCGGTATGAATATTTAAGAGGAAAATGGGAACACTCCGAAGACTACTATTTTCAACTACATCTCATGAAATACCTGAAGGATGTCAGTGGCGTTGAGCATTGTTATTAGACTTGTTGGTGCTGCAGGGATGATGATAATAGGAACACGGGAGGCGCGAGGCTTAGAACGGGAAGCCAAAGAGCGGGAGCTACGATCTAAAAAACACAAAATGCCCTTCTAATTGTACAATATGAGGAATACCGTGCTTTAGGCAGAAAAAATAAGCTCGTAAAAAGTAACCCACTTCTCACCTATCAAAAGCCCACGCGAATAAATGACATGCAACCCACCAAATAGTCAAATCAACCGATAAAATATACAATCACTGAATAAGATTTACATGGATCAGGAGTGAGGCCAGCAGCGATGGGTGTACTGAGCCCTAGACCACGCGGATCGCGAGGTGTCCGAGCACCACGCGGAGTCTCGTGGCCAGGCGTTTCTGGAGGGAGAATTGTGGAACCGGAACCCTCGAAGGTAAGGCCTGGCGCTGACAAAGCACTACCGTTTGGCTTAGATCCTCCGGCACTGACACCGCTACCCACCATGGAAGTGAGCGCCTTGCCATGATAGGAGCTCATTGTATCAATTCTGAAACCCGCAGTATCTTCTCGGCCTGTAGCAAAGCGCTCCTGATCATACCGGGAATACTGTAAGGCGGGAGGCTGGCTCTGTTGTCGCTGGTGGGCCATGGAAGTTAGAGGCGTCTTGTAGAAGTTGTTTATGGTTCCAACCGCACCGCTATAAGCGTCACGGCGATCCGGTGCCAAATGGGCGTTTTCCTTAAGCTAAAAACGGCAGATGAAACTGTGGGCGACAAATATGCAATTATGCGTGCATTCAATGTTGTTCAATTTACCATGACGTTACGTAAAATGCCCAAAACAATATTTTCGTAGAAGGTCTTGCCCTGACTTTGGAGAATATTGCCCCGCGTTCGCCATCGACGCTCACGTGATGAAATTACACGAACAGTATCCATGTCAGAAGCAAGAAAGGCGGCACGTTTGGGGTCAGCGGAACGAGCGAGAGCAAGCTGCGCATCATCAACAGAAACTATAAGCTGAGAATTTGAACCTTGATAGATTGGATCAGTGGGTCTTGAAGAGAAGACAGAGACGCCAGAAGCCATCAGCAGTGGCTCGTCACCAGTAACAACGGCGGTGGGATCTAAGGCATCTGGACTGCCTAGATGATCCACGGTTACCTCGGGCTTTGCGACCTGCTGATTCGCCCGGAACTTCGCGCGAAGAGACTAGAGAAAAATAATCCTAGTTATTTTGCAGCTGCATATTCAAGAACGACGTAGACGAATTTCTATAAATCCCAACATTAAATCTTAAGAAACTCAAAGTCAGAGACGCAAAACATGTGTGCACTGAGTTCAAGTAAAGGAACCAAAAACAGTCATACCTGAATTTTATCCAATGATATAGCCGAAGGAAGGGCGCTTCCTTCAGATTGATCCAAAATTGAGCCAATCTTTTTTCTAGCAGATTCATCGTGCTGTGAATCGAGAGGTTTAACTTCTTCCGGCTCGTAGGAAGATAGTCGTGGCCTTTTCCCATCGATAGGTACATCTGTACCCAAAATGGATAAAATGAAACGTCTACTGGCAAAGCTCATGATTAAACTAGACCGTGGCAAGATGACTAACCGCGCAAATTCTGTGCATCCAAAGAGCCTTTAGAGATAGCTCTGCGGATGGTTATATCAACAGGAACCGTCCTATCAATATTTGGAGCGGAAGTGGCATCTCCATTCAGATAATTAAGTAGTTCACGTCGATCAGGTAAACGTACCACTGGTATTCCTGCGGCCTGAAAAAGTCATGCAAAAATAAACCTACCGCAGCCTGTCTGACATATTTTGAATGAGGAAGATTAACATTCTTTAGGAGATACACGATACAATTCAAAGTATAGTAATCCTTCGGAGCACCGTCTTTACCAGTACTGCCAGAAGTTTGGTGCAAACAAGGAACCTACCCCCACATAACATAGTTTGTCTTTGCAGATTTCGGCCAAGCGAACTCTCCAAAAATTACTTCCTCATTAGTCTCCACAATTTCTTTATTACCAATATGATACTCACGCAGAAGCCCTAGCACGTCCGCCATACTCAGCTAAACGACGGGTCAACAGGAGCGCCGCAGCCACCCAATCTATTTAAGAAAAAGCTGAAAAAATTTGCAAATCAAAGAGAAGTGTAGAGTAAATTTCCTGCATTATTAGTCTCAAAAAGTGTCAAAAAAGTTGAAATGTAAGAATGCATCATAGGTTCTCCAGTAAACAGATATACGTAGATGCACATGAGGATGGGCCCAAGCGTCCACATATATATCATTAATAAAAACGTGAAAAAAGCCCTTGTCAAAAGTCAAAAAAACTAGCCTAAAGGCCTATTCTACTACAAGTTGAGCTAGTTTCATTCACCAGATGACTCCCTCGAAAGTGTCCTAAATTTACAAATAACTAGCGGTTGATTGATGAAAATTTCGCACTGTGACTACTTGAGTTCACCTGAACTAAAGTGCGTGGTGTCAGCAGTGGATTAAGTTTATCACGAATGCACGAAGGGATTAGGAGGCTATAAATGTTTGGATGACCCCTTCATAGCGGCTAAGTGGAAACATAAAAGTCTCTGTGACCCGAATTTTTAATACATAAGTCTAAACATGTTATTACTGTAGTAACGTTAGACCTACTTAAAGATGAATAAGACGCGATACTGGGCAGAGTATGTGTGGGACAAGGCTCCTGAGTCTCCTCTTCCCTGGTCCTCATACTCTTAGAATACCCGGGTTGATATAGCTTCGCCATGTCTATTATAATAAGTAAATGGGAAGAGCAAGTACAAGTTCAGGGGGTGTGGATACGGAGCCCCTCCACGGATTGCAGGACGTCGACTCCCCTGTCACAAGATTCGATCCGTATCCCCATCTTTTATCTAAAAAAAACCTTAAAACAACAGGAGCAATAAACATGCATTATAAAATCACAGAAGGTCTTCGTGTCGCGCCACACAGCGGATGCCCATTGTTGAGACCTCGAGGTGACCTGTTTCCGAATTTGGAAGTACACCAAATAGCTTCAATATTGCCTGTCCATCTTTGCAAGTGCATTGCTGCTTTCATGCGCGGTGGTAATACTGCATTCACCAAACTTTTTTGAGAATCTCATAACACCAAATTTGCAATGATTGGGCTATAATGCTTAGTATTGTAAAGAACATTACAGAAGCAAACTATACTGTCTAATTTATGAGACGGTGAAGGCCCCAGACTCGTTGATACTGGTAGATAAAATCAGGTTTTTTGTCACTTTCCTGTAAAGGAATGTAAATGATAAATTTTGGAAGAAAAACGGTTTAAAATACTTAGTTAGCCATAAATTGTTAAAATTAATCTCTTTAACTTATTGGATCATTGGCTTCACAATACTGTCATTCTTCTGTCCTGTTTTACTAACTGGTCCGTCTGTCGCCACTTGCGTTTTCTGGGCGATGGCGGTCACGCCCTTTTGCTGGACTGGTGAATTCGTCATCAAGTAACTTTCTTTTTAAGTCATATTCTTAAGAAAACCATGGGCTGATGTTATGCGGGCAGCCCAACTGAAGTATCCAAACCCATTTAATCCGAACGTTTTGACCATCGATGTTATTTCACGAAACATTGATAGGGAAACTGGCGTTCTTCGCACTACCAAGTTGATTAACTCATCTTGGCCTATGTTTTCAAGTGTGGGCGACCTTCGGGCTGTTGAGCGTACAGAGGTTGATCCTCGGAGGCAATACATGCTTTTGGAATCCAACAATGTTGACATGAGAGGTGTTCTCAAAGCCAATGAAAGACTAGAGTATGAAGTACATCCTGGTAATCCTGAATGGTAATTTGTTACTTTTTAACATTGTAATAGAACCCATTTTAATATGCAGCATTTGTGGCTGCTAAGTCCTTGCAAGGTTCCATGTTTTGCCGTGGTCTTGTTCGTTTAAACCTAAATTAGGCTTGGAATTTGCAGGACGCTCGTTCGTCACAAAATCTCCGTGGACGCCTTCCGCTTCATCGCTTATGCTGCACTCTCCGCCAGCGAAAAGACTGCTCGTTCGGTAAGATGCTTAAAGTTCTACGATTATGCAGCATACATTACTCTATTGCTCCCTTTTTGTTAGTATTCCTTATTTTAATCCTTTACATTCATGCATTGAATTTTAAAATCTGTCTTTAACCTTCATTATTACTCTACTGAGCATTATTGTGTTTTCCTGGGTTTTCATAAATTAATTCTTACTTCATTTCTCACTTATTTTAACACCTCTTATATTTGCCTCTACATCTATGTTGATCTGTCAATACAACTAAAATGTCATGACTGTTGTAAACATTAGTTAATGTATTATGCCCTCCTAAATCAGGGTCGGGAAGCCTTGAAATGGGTTATCGAGAACCGAATTGATCACTTCATGGTGCGTGCTCCTTCAAAAACCGACGTGTCGGCTCCCTCTTCGTACCTCACTCCGGTATCCAGTTTTTTTTCACACGGGGCGACATCGTCGCTCTCCCTGTGGAGTCGCTTGCGCTCTCTTACTGTCCCCTCTCAACAGTCCATGATGGGTCCTGGTAACACCAACCAGTCGTCGTCCACGTCGCTGCCCCCACGGCTCCTGCGGACCTGCTCCACGAGCAGTTTACCTGTTTCGCTGGACCGCGTAGTCACTTCTTTTGACTCTTTTCATCCCATTGAGGCGCTGGGCGATATTAGGAATAGAGTGGCTACCGATGTAACAGCGTTGCGAGAGCAACTACGCAGACGATCCCAGCGTGTCATTGAACGTTTTTCCAAGGTGGATGAGTACGTGCTCATCATGTGAAGTAGTTTTTGGTGCCGAAAGTTTTCCTTTTCCAAGATATTGTTACTCGCTGCTCTCTGACTGCACCTCTACCCCGCTGCTGCCACGGCGTGTTTGCTCTTTGTAAAGACTACGTAGGTATTGTGCTGTTCTTGAACGGTCTCGTCCTTTTCTAAGCAAAGTTTAGCACTTTCAAGGCATCAAAGTTCAACAAAACAGTGCGGCATCCTTGATTCTGCATTATTAACATTTTAGTTGCGGAATTCTCGGTACTTTTAGGTAACAAGATTGCCCCTATTATTTACGCACATATTTTGGTGGACCCAACATTGAGCAAGGTGAATACTCTCGCTCTATTGAATGGCCCGTTGTTTGCCGCTTCTAGTGCAGTCAAGTCTACACCAGGTCCAAAAAATGAGTACATACACACATTTATCAGATTGAGCAGCGGGTGAACATGAATGGCCCCTGCTGCTGTGGCTGGTGTATTTGCCTGGTGGGTTACCGCACCGCTAGAACGGATTGTTGTGCCACCCGACAAACGTAAACGTGAGCTAGCTTCAAGTTGGTTAGCAACGCAAGAGAGTTACTGACAAAGTAACGGCAGGTAACGCATATCAGCAAGCCTTAATCATTCCTGTATTCTATTGGTGAGACCGTGAAAATTGCACGAAAAGCATTCTCATAACTTACGAGCGGGTGTGGAATAGTTCACCTTTGGCATGATGAGGGCCAGGTAGTTGGTTTTATGTAAGCTGGTTTGGGGTTTTCTGTTCCTCGTCGGGATGGCACTCGAAATAGGCTTTTGGCAGATGTGGCCGCTCCAGGCACAACGCGTGGCGCTCTCCACGTAATTGAGGTCAGGATTGGATGCGCTATCCTAAGCAGTACACGTGCTAGGAGACACCGTGCATTGCGGAACTTGGATTTCATACTGCTTGGACCCCTGGGCGTAAGCTGTTGCCTTGTGGGTATGGGGCTTCTGACCGTGAGCACACTGGCTACAGATTAAGTAATTGAAAGGTGCTGCATTTGCTTCCTTGTGAGACACTTCATTGGCAACTTGCCAGAAATATCTGATAAGGGAAGTGTTTAATTACCATTAGGAAGAGCGAATACTTTCAAACGGTCATGTGGAGAGTTGGTCCGATATTGGCACTTTTCCTAAGGGCGCTATCATTAAATTGCTGTGCCTGTTCAAGCCCCAAGGTGTGCATGTAAACTGATGTCGCGAGTACGGATCTTTATGCCAATTGAGGACCGCGGATTTGGCTCCTTCAAACGCCTTTTCATTTATTTTTTTTTCCAGAAATACTGGTATTACAAAGGGCCTAATTATTATTTGAAATGGTGAGAACTGGTTCTATGCAGCAACAATTATTTCTGGTGCAGTTAACCTTCTGCATCGATTGCAGTAATGTTAAAGATCGTTAAGTAATAGTGTCGTTTGCGATGTTTACCGTGTTTGTCTAGAAACGCGTTATTTCTACCTTAAACAATGACGAATTCGTTCGAACAATGAAGCTTGTAACCTTAGATAAACTTGATTTCGATGTACATTGTTTCATCTGGCTTGTTTTACCACTGTAGCGTTCCAAGTCTTCCATATTCGACCTATAGAAGGTATTAGAGCCACTGGCATGGCCCAGAGGCCAGCCCACCCGGTGAGGTACAATGGCCGAGACAGAGTGGCCCTCTACCAATACCGGCCGTTAAACGCAACCAATGCATTACAGCCACTGTATTCAACAATACTGTTTCGAAGCGGTTTTTCCCTCCGTAGCGATGCAGTTATTGCACTTCCAACAATCGCGTTAGTTACTGAGCCTTCGAAATGATTTCCTACTTATTTCAGCGGGAGCAACTATTTAAATCTAGAACAGATTTTACCGTATCTGGGCCCTATCAACCTTTTTGACTATAACTAGCGCATTACACTTGGTGAACAAATCATTTAATATCTGCCACAAATGCAGGATTCTTTACAAGATCACAGTATTTAATTGACACAGTGCTCATTTAACCGCACGGACGTCTCTGCGGTTTGTACTACCTTTTGGCGGACGTGGGAGAAGGGGCATACTTCTCTTCTATCAAACCTACCTACCATAATGGTACGGCTTGACGGACCTTCAGAGGAGGTTGCGGGCGCTATGACTCTGTGCGCACCTCGAGATCAATGATCTAAGATTGACTTGCGAAAATGTTAGTAATCACTATAACTGCGGGAAAAACAGCCTAGTATGAAAATCGAAATAGAGTAAGATGTTTATCATCAATGATTTAAGGTCAGCGTTGATAAATCAGCATAAAGCACATGTATGCCGTATCTGGAGAGGAATAGAATCACTAAAAAATTTGACCTACATATGTAGTGGGTTGGCTGTTTAACTTTCAGTTTTGGTAGGGGACGAGTTTGTGTCTTGACTGTTCCACCTTCGCTGGGTGGGTTTGTCCCTGGGCCATGCCAGTAGCCCCAACCCCTGCTGTATTTTAAATGTGCGTATCTTCTGTCCAAGTGTTATGTCCTCTTTCATTCCCAGAGAAGCCTCGGTTTGCTGCGCAAGAGCTGATGGATGAAAGTATTCGAGATACCTAACGAATTCAATCAAACTTCTCAACTGCAAACTGTTCACCAATTTTAGAGCTAGTTTTTAAAAGTTTACGACTAAATTACATTGATTCGATATTTCAACCGATTGATTTACTAGGTGGGTTCGTCACTTTCCGTAGGTAGTGTTCTACTGGGGCATGCCAAACTGGCCACGCCTATTAGCTGACCATCCATTCTGTACTGTAGCGTCCCGAGACTTCCCTGAAGACGAAAGGAGACACAATACTCGGGCAGAATATATATTCAGCACAGAGAAGGTGTCTGGGCTACTGGCATGGCCCGAAGGCCAGCCCACCCAGCGAGCTACAAGAAGGCTAATTTCAAAGTGCAAAAGTAGCGCCTCGCCAACACCGAGGGATAAACCATCATCGTATGACAGTACGCTTATAACAAGTCTTCCTCCACACTGGAAGGCGAAGGGTACTGGAATGCCGTAAGAGGTCTGGTAGTCGAGGCGAATTAGATGCAGATAATGCGTTTAATTATAGTTGTAAATGCGGCAGCTAACTCATCATGGAGACCGAATTACTCTTTAAGTAACGGTGGGCTCTAACATGCAAATACTTCCATAATCTAAATAATTTATTTCGTTTACATAGACAAATCCTTTGTATGTAATTATGCACACCAGCAGATCTCTCCGACATGTATTGCAGCGCTCCGTATCTTCCCCTAATCATAAACGCCAAAGTGCCGGAGAATGCAAAGGAAAGCTGAATGACGCTTGCTATGGCCTCAAAACTAAGTCAGAGCAGAGCCACAACCTGCAAAGAATAAAGCACTCCCATAGCTGAAGAAAAACTACCAAAGCATGATAAATTAAAAAAAACCAGGAGCTATACGAAGCTATACAAAGCTGTTGTAACACCTAATAATGGCAAATAAATACTACTTTTACCCAGTAAATTTGCAATCTATCATTTTGTTGGTTCGATATCGCTCATTTGGGAGAAAATATAAGCATATATAATCGTACCTAATTGTTAGCAGAATGGCCCAATTTCAGCCATAAATTGGCCCTAGACAAATATTTGCCGAATTACTTATAGTTGATTTTTGGGGCGAACAAGGCTATATATTTATACTATTTAAAATCTAAAATCGTTTTGACTTACAGATGACCCTGAAAAATGCCACGTGATTCAAGGTGATTGCAAGTGAATTTGTCGCGGTTTAGCTTCGTTTGGTTTGCAATGTCCTGCGGACTTTGTTTGGCTCACTCGTCGCTTTGATACCATGAGTTTTAATGTCCTCAACTACACAACATTACTGTGCTTATTTTGTGGGTAGTCGGGTGACTTTAGATGTTTTCTTCTGTTCACATATAGGTTCTTGTAAATTTTACGCGTCAATGACCCCAAGTACCAGCCTACTTATTTCACTTTTACGCCCCGTTAGGATTCTTAGCTGCTTCGCATTTCTCTGATGCTCTTAGACATTGCTCATTTGTAAGATGAGCAAAGGGCCGTCTTAACCCACTTTTTCACAAAATAAACTATAAGAACTGTGGTCTAGTTTATTCGCCAACTTTAGTTCGATTGACCATGTAATCGCCAAAAGTGTTTTTGAGGTTGTGCTTTTAACTACTGTGCATTATTATCCTCTTGAATAGAAAGTCCATTTTGAAAGATCCATTGCGGTCCTATTCTCCTGATGAATGATTTGAAATTTTAAGCCGCCGTTTGTCTACTAGATGCATTTGGTGCATAAATTTTGAAATCTCGAGATAAAAGTTTTAATTGGGTTTATGCTTTTTTACCTCTTCGTCATTCTTTGATACTGGACAGCTGAGCTTAGTGACCTATTTTGCTTTCATGTTTCTTATTTTTGTTTTCTCTTCAGAAGCAAACAAAAACGTTTCTCTTCTGCGGATATTTTTTGAACACAACTTTTGGCGTGTCATTTATCAGTTAAAGGCTTATTTACGCCGATGTCGGTACAGGATACCAATAATCTTTCAGAGGAACAGATTGACTGTGCCTTCGATTATTTCCGTAAGTTTCCGTTGCATCTTGAACCATAGCTATTTCGTCCGTTACTTTAAGGCCCTACACTGTAAGCTTGTCAAATTAGTAGTCTTGTTCACGTCTACATATTGTTGTCTCCACCTTTACCAAAAAACGCTACTAGGGTAAGCTCCTCAGTTTGAATTTCGCTGGTATTTTAATTTTAACTATGTTGTCTGTTACTTTTATCCTATACATCTATGCTAGATGAGGTATTATCCACCGCTTTGACTTTATCATGTGATTATCCACTTTGTACTTCATATACTTACAAATCTACTCGTTACCCAATGTATAAGGCGCTAACATTGAGTTGTGACGCAAACAGTTCTGGTTTTATGAAAGGAACCTGACTGAACTTATATGCTACCACTAGTTCTTTTCCACTCTCTCTTTCAAATACTTCTGTCGTAGCCTCTTTTCATTTTCACTTCTGTTGTTTTTCTCCTCATCGCACGCAATTCCCATCTGTGCTGTCTTTCATGGGCGACGACGATTTTCCTGGCTCGATTTCTTTAGTCCTATTTTCTTATAAAAAGAGCATCGAGCTTTTGGCTATTTTTGGTTGCTTTGGTTACGCATTCCGTATTTAACTTAACTTTCTTACCACTGTGGAACTTGAATGGAATGGAATATTTTTTTAGATAAAATCCCATATGGTTATTCATAAATGCACTTCTCTACCCGTCCTCCCACTTCATTAGTATTGTGCTTTCTTCTGACACCAGTTTTGGCTTTTTTATTTTTTTTTCGTCTTTGGCAACCATCGAATTTTAAGTTTGTCCATGTGAAGCTCACAGAAACATGAATGTAAGTGGGAGCAAGAAATCGACGCAATGTAAACGTGCGGTAAACCATCATTTTGGCAACCGCTTTTGATATTGTCACGTTGTCCGTCCGGGAAGTCAACTTATTATTATCGTGATGTTTAGCTTTTTCAGCCTTTTATGGTACAAAAGCTACGGATAGAATCGCTCCATACACGAGTAATCACTTGAACCTGAGCCACCAATGTGTATCAGTTTCAAGTTTTTGTAAACCATGAGTATCTGAGTGCCACTTGAAAGTAGAAGTAGATACTAGTTTTTCATTGATCGTATGTATATTCCGTGCCAAAATTACTTGTATTTTTTCAAAAAAAGCGATAAGCGGAAGTGCAGTCGATTCGTTCTTGTGGAAAATTTAATGTTTCTTGATGCTTGAATTAGTCATTTTAAAATGCAGGATATGCTTCAAGAATGCGCATAGGAAACTAGTAATAAGAATTCGGGGCAATTTAGACAGCATTCGCATCGATTAGAGGGAGTGAGATCCCTTGTTTTGTAACACCTACATTCCTTTCAGGTTTGCACATTTAACAGCCACAGAGAAGTAGATGCTAGGCTTGTGGGTGCGAAGCAAAACAGATCCGTCACGTCATTCCTCTGCCCATGGCAGCAGCAGCTTGTAAGCCCATTTTGGCGTGGTTTTGCGTGCATATTTGCTTGATCGTTTTCGCGCATCTCGGCCAGATGGTTAAGGGTCAGATCAGGTGCGCTCTTATGCCTCTCGCTCGACCTTGTACCATTGGCTGCGTCGTTTTACCGATCTGCAACAACCGAGAGGTCCATAACCAAGCGCAAATCTTTTATTGAAATTGATACACATGATCTACAGCGTATGTTCCAAGTGCAAAAGAATATAATAATATTTAGACTTGACTTTCTTCAGCTACTTATGGAACAATCCGTGATTACTTTTTTGGAATCTTACTTCAAAAATACCATTGCGGTAGATTTTTTAGGGCTTACGACGCTAAGTGGAGTGTGAGAACGAAAGTGTCGGTTATTGCGTGACAGTTTAGAGGTTGAGTTAATGACTTCTTACGTGAATATTTTCTGACAATTCTTATTGTTTTTCCATTTTCAACAGAGTGAGTTAGTGAGCACTTTCTGCGTCTCGTTAAGAATACGACTTAAACTAAAAACAGTTATTTTCGATTAATTACTACTCGCGTTAATGGCGTGGACAACCTTAGTCTTGGTTAATTTCCATGCGATCTTCCAGACCTCGGGGTTGTAGTGGTGCGGTACAATAAGTGAAGCAAATATTTTTGTATAGTTTCGACTCCTTCCCTAATAAACAAATCAACAATTAGTCTCAGAAAGATTGGATGACGCTTGCGTGCCACTCGTATAACTGGTCTGTGTTTTGTGCTTCTTTTCGCGTTGTATCTCTGCAGCTAAGGTGCTACTGGTGTTATCTATAGACGGCGCCTGCGCTGTTTGGTTGACAGTGGTCATTTTCGAGTGAAACCTCTTTCTTTGGTATTCAGCTCTCTTGGAGCGGTGGATTGTAACAAAACTTGCATGAATCCGGTGCCTTGCAAATATTTGTTGGCAGAGTACTCGCCTGACATTTGTTATGCTAGCCCCTTAGGTGCGTCAGCCCACGTTCCATTTGCTATCATTTTATGCAAGCCTTTTCCTTCGCCATAAAAGTGCAAGTAATAGCAGTTATGTTTGGCTGAACCGCCGAGCACGGCTTGTATATTTTCGGAAAAATCTGTCTTCGACCAATTATTTTGATTCCATGCGCTATTCGAATTATGTGAGCATTTGCAAGAACTTTTGTGTTTACCTGATCAGATTATTCACTTTCTCCGGCTTAAACAGAAGGTACGATTGTATAGAACAGAATTTAAGTATTTTGATTTGGTGTGATTTACAAGATCCCTTTAGCCAATTTTAAAACTCATATATGTACACGTCGTGAATTTACTCCTCTCGATCTATCTCATTTCTACTGGAGGACGCTGTTGGAGCGGTGACTAAAATACTTTCACCTGACTTCCAAACCAACCGGTTCAAAGTAAAGTGCCCTCCGTGCCAAAGTAAGTAGTTGATAAAATAACTCGAAGAAGTAGGTGAAAAGCTAGGTATGGTTGGTCAAAACGGGAAACTTGGGTAAATTACCTGTCGTGGGCTCAAGGAAATCGATGCATAGTGATAGACCAATTCTTCATTCGTATGCTCATCTTGCAAGTACAATCAGATTTGTCCATTATTCCATGATTTTGGACAAATACCATAATAGACGTTATCTAAATGCATCTCAAGTGACCGAAAGTCCTTTTTTTCCTCAATCCCTGAAACTACATGTACCGTTTTCCAGAATAACGTTACCATCCCTGTAAACGCCAAATTTAACCTCGGCGGAATTAGGTTGCAAATACTAATGCGTGCCACCAACTCGCATAATTAGCTAAGGGAGAAAATTGCGCAAAGCGCATAGATAACGGCGCTGAGACACTGCCAATGATGGTCAGACCCGTAAGTAGTGTTTAAGTAGCTTGAAAAGAGACTAACCTACCTTCCATTTCGTATCTGTTCGCATTTACTGTATTTTCATTGACACCCACTCTTGTTGGTGCAGAATGGTTGACTCATCAATTTGTTATTCCTTGTGTCTTCTTGAAGCGATTTATGCTATGATGAAGCGATCCTCTGTGCGATCAGTTCACTGTTTTACGCGATCCCAAATACTTTTTTAAATTTCAATGAAACGGACTGGTTGTTAAAAGATCATATTCGCCTTGTTCCCAATGGCATTGCTTTATTCCGTGATTCTGATTGGATAATGTTTCGGTTACTCAAACAACAACCAGTAGCATATATTTCTCTTAAAATATAGCTCGCTTGTTTGTACGCCCTTGATCCTGCGGGAGCTTATTTGTATTAACCCGTAAATACAATTCACCTGAAGTCGTTTTAATGATACAAATCAATTGGCAGTTTTTGATTGTATTCGATTCAAAAAATTCGGGGAATTATATGTCTAGACCAAGTTATTACATCTATTCAATCACATGGAAAGAGTCCACAATCATGATAAACGATACCTGGAAGAATGTTTACAAATTACGCTTATCAATCACATCACGAATATTCTGCTTGCTGTCGAATTTTCATATCTTGTGATGTTGTAAGAGGTTAACTCTACTATTCTGTTCGGTCTTGCGCAATGAACACGGAAGGGCGTGTCTTTGTCTCTTCTTGGAGCGCTAAAGCGAAGATGGCCACTTTTTGGTGTCTGATGTTCCCCCGTTTATGACACTCGTAACTATCATGCATATGTGCCGGGGAGAAACTTGGGTCGCAAGAACTTGGGCACATGCAGTGCGAACTCTAATGCATCCAATCACGCCCCATTTGGTGCCTCGATTCGTCGTGTCCTGTACTCCTTTCTGCAGAGCAATGAATCCTCGAGGCATGGTTTCGGAATTCACGGGAATGCGACACTGTCTCATGTGTATGCGCCTTGCAGGACATATGGACTCACTCTACTGTCTCCTGACGTTTGTGTGTTCGCTGTTACGCAATTTCTTAGCACTAAATTTTCATTGGCTTCGCTCTTGTCGCGTGCAGCCATCCACCTATCGCTCTGCGATCTTTACAGTCGTTTTTCACGCCCAAATAGCATTGGCTATTATAAAATTCTTCTCTGTGTGAGAGGGCTCTTTTCCATTGGAACGTATCGAAAACTGCGATTCATTTCAGGATTCATGAATCTTGAGCCCTTCAGTGTCATTGGATGATATCAGTCGTCGTGACATTACAAAATCTGCTGGTAACATGAATATATGTTGTTAATTGCTCCGAAATTATTTCGTTACAAGGTTTATTCCCTAAATTATTTCCATAGTTTTGTCCTAAAATCGTGCAGGATGTTGATTAAGTACTAAGCATCTGTTTTTGCTAGGAAGCAATTTTCATGGTGCTTACCTAAATTTATCTAAACGTCCAATTACTTTTTGACATTTCCCGTTTTCGGATAGACATAATCGCTAAACAAAAACTTCGGAATTTATTTCCAGTCATGTTACACTTTAAGGGTTTTACTTGAACCTAAGCGCACCTCATAGGTTTTATGCGTTAATTTTCTGCATTTATTCTTGACTTTGTACACAAAAGTGTATTATAACAATTTCCCTTATTTTGAATTGATTGAAGGATCTGGATTTAACGAGAACTTATTTATAGTGTTGGGTACTTTTTGCCAAATTACCTTCTGCGAGTCTATTCACCCCTTCAAGTCGAACAGGCTAGTAGGTACTACGCTTCCTTCTTATTTTTTGTATCTAAAATTTATTCCAGATGTTAGATATAGTAGCTGTTAGTACCTGTTTTATCCTCGCTAAGATATTTCTTATTCATTTCTTCCAAAAATCGTCTCATTTCTTTAGTCAGGAATGTTGCATTCCAGAATAGTAGGGTCGCAATATAATACATTTCTGTGCGATCGTTTTGTAGTTATAAAACAACGAATCGACGAAATATCCAGTATTGCCCGTCTGAACTGGACCATTGAAGGTTTGCTTTAAATTTGATCTCGCTGAGGGTCAATTTGCAAACTAGTCAAAACATAAACCGACGTGTAGCTTTCATTTTTGTGAAATTTTATGTTATATATGGGAGTTCCTGGGCCTTTAAGACAATGCACTTAATTCTGCGTTACTGCACATTCCTGTGCATGGGTTCCGATGAGGTTGTGCATATTATGCGAATGATGCGCTACCTTTGGTACTCATATATCCACACCCAAAATAGAATACATTATTAGTTTAAGCTATTTTCGTATTTCTTCCATTGAACTCCGGAGTTCGAAGAAGGTCCTTCCTGCTTGTAGCTATCACTCTCGTGCAATTTTGGGGTGGTGCTTTCCATTCTTGCTGATCATCAACTCACGCGGTCACGCATGCCTCGGGAAGTTCTAGCGTTTTTAAGGGGTAAAATTTGTGCAATTACACAGGTAATGTTGACGCAATTAATCAGCGTAGCTCATTCTAGGTTTGAACCATTTACTAACAGTATTCAAGAAGAGTTCACGCACGTCTGGAGGAACTTCACCAACATATATTGAGTCTTTCATGTTGAATTTCAACCCTCAAACTCATGTGGTGTTATCACTTGATTGATTTGCAGCGTCTGATAACACACCTCTTGACCTTAATGCTATGCTGGCTATTGCTATTTTTAACAATCTTCCCTACTTCTTTTTAATCACTTAATTGCTGGTCCTTCACGTGAACTCCCCGCTAAACACCTTGATGCGGTATGTAAGGCAACGTCTCATTCAGTTGACGTTGAGCATTAAATCCGTAGTAGCTGTTCATCACCGTGTTTCACCTTTTACATTTTTGTTGACATCAGAATGCTCGAGTGTATTTGCACTTTAATGTTATCAAAATTGAACACCCGAATTTTCCCATCCTTAACGAATTTCGTATATCTTTGAGAAAAAAAATTATTACAAAGTTATCAGTTTCTGATTTACCTAAGCCCACTTATATGACTTGCTTCTTCACGGAGCTTACATGGAATTCACACTATTCGCGCCACCTTCCCGATTTAATGTTTTGTGTGTTTCTGCTTCCCATCATTATTAACAGGCTAAAGTCACTGTCGCGCTTTTGCCATGACTTGTGGCACTGAACTTTGCTCTTTAATGGTACCATATTACGCACACTGACCTCTGACTTGTTATCGTATGCTGAAACAGTTTTAGCTAGAAATTGTTATTACTGCTGATACTAGTGTCCACTCAGTCATCGTCAGTAGAAAACCTGTCGGCGAGTCCAAATCACTTTTCCAATGATACATTGACAAACGTGGCGAAGACCGTGCATTCTGCATCTAGCGACTCCCCGCTGGTGGATTTCATTGTGCGTAGTTCATCCCAATTTCATCCGCATTTTCTACCTAATTTTGAGTTTAAATCTACTTCTACTCTAAAAAGGCAAAATGTCTGTTTAATTGATATTCTTAAATACATTATATGCTAATTTTTTCTACACGTGTGAATGCTGCAGTTTTGTTGCTATGACGTTCACTTTGAGCACGTAATAACAAACGTGCTTTTTGGCTATTTAAACTTCGGTAAATGAATTACAATAGTTGTTTACCTTCAGTCATTTCGGTAAATGGCGTTCGGTATCAATTCACATCCAACTGCGGTCCGTGAATGGCTACGATAGTCTTGCAATTTTATTGTGCACTTCTTTTCCTTTTTAGTTCTCTACGATCGAAAGTTGCAGCAAATGGAGGGAAGTCTCGACGATCCCCAGGCTCTGCGCCGCCTCCTAACTGACGTAAGTCGACAACCCATCTTTAGGTCACCTATTCCATAACCCGAGATCGCACTCCTCTACCCCTTTTAACATCCCTCATCATCCACTTATATGCTATTCACTATTTGAAGGTGCAAGGTAATAATTTTCGTTACTTGAATTAGGTCTTTTCCCAAGTCACTCTCAATCAAGGTTAAATAAATTTCAGGTTTTATAAATTTGACCCACCTAATTCCAGTTGATACTCTGTTTTTTTTCATTAAACTAATTTTGTCTATTTTTGATTCCTGGCCCATTTTGGTAGACACTATCTGAATTTCTATCGTCTTATTATTCATTTTGCCATCATTGGGGTCCCTGTGCTTGGGGGGGGGGGGGAATGTAACATTCTTTGCGTTTTGAGTGTGACGCTTTGCCAGCTGAAAATTACTTAGGTACAGGGTGGTCAGAAGTGTGCTATTGCTTTATTCGTGCTTAATTAGGTGCAAACTAAGGCAACTCAGCGTAAAGGGCTCATCTTCTTCTCCTAGTCTCTTTTTCATCCTTGCTTGGTGCACTTTTTGACTGATTTATTTCGATACCCCACTACACTTCCTATTATGTTTTACAATGAACTTTTATGTTATTGGATATGCTTTTCAAAACGGGGGAACAAAGCGATGTACTTCTGATGTAATAAAATTGGAGATTTTTCCTGCAATGTTCCATTTTGAGCTACGTTTGGGGTCATTTAGACTCATCTAACCCTGCCATTAATTAATTAAATTTTCATGCATGCCAACCGCTAACGCCATATATGTGATTCGCGTGCTTGAATGATGGCCTTTAGCACAATCTTACTAGACTTCACGGTTTCAACTGAGAAATCTTAACCACTGTGTAAAAGTCATAAGTGCCAAAGTGCCATTAAGCTCCACTGGATTGTCAGCCTTTGTAATCCCATAACACTGTTTTAAAAGAGCGCTACATTCCTTTTAACCCCTACTTTTTGTCTCTCCAAGAATATTAATAGCAGCAAAATATATTTGCAATTACGGTAAGTCACTGCTCACCCTAAAACTGCGAGGATTAATCCCAAATTACGCATGACCAAGCACTTTACGGTGCTTGAAGTCCATGGTAAATTCTTTTAAACTGCAGTAAACTATCGCACATTTCTATTATTTTCGGCGAGTATTAGACAAAAGTGCCACTTCTCAAGCGATATTCCGTATCATACTTGATGGTGCCGCCCAGGTAATTAAATATGGGGCAATGAATGTAAGCATTCGGATTCCGCCCCGTTAAGTAGCATTAGTTTTATGTCACACGTGACCCCAGTGGTTAGAGTCTGAATTAGCAAAAGGCGACTTTTTCAGCTCTACTATTTCCGCTCTTTCATTCAGTATAGCGTCGAGAATTTGTGCCTTGCAGTTACGTCAACTTAATCATTTCTTCCAGGTAATTTTAACTCAAAAATCTAAAAAAATGCACATTGTTAACGATCCCGGATGCGCATAAATTGCCATAATGACTTCTCTTTTGACAATGCCTTCTTGCTAGAGGGCGTGATGCATCTTACCCTAATTCCCACCTGTCGTTTCCCCCCTCTCAAAACCACCAACAGCCTCGACGCTATTTCGCTGTACAGGCCCTAACCAAATTCATGCATTAGCAATAAGTGATCGAACTGACGTCGTTTATTTGCTGCCATCACGAAACGAATCGGGCTTAATGTCTGCTAATATTTGGTTAACTGGAGTGCATTTATCAAAACCGACATTTTCATGTACCACTCACCAATAACCACTTCGGACACATTTCCACGTCAGACACAGTTGATACTCAGTCTTGCATTGGTCAAGCATCAATGGCAAGTTAAGAAATAGCCTGTTAAGAATTTTGGTACTTGATTGACACGTTCATAGCGTCGGAAACATAAGTAAGCTATTTCTCATTTCTGCATCCCGCTCTTAACGAAAAGGCAGTGTACACAGGTCCCGTTATATCATTTGGGAACGCGTTATCTGAAAATATACTTTACTTCAACCTTCAATTGATGGAACTCACTCTTAATTTGTGGATAAATGATTGATCAAGCATCTGTGGCTGGTCGAAAATTTCTCATCCGAATCTCCGGTTCTCTTGTCAATCTAACGGATGGCCGCCTACGCAAACGCATCAGCCTCGTATTTTCACAACCTCCGCCTCCCATTTATTACAACCATAGTTTGCAATTCTGTGTCATGTTTTTCTTACTGGTTGGGTGGGTTATAAATTTAGATGTGCGTTTGTTTCACTGGCTTGACGTAAATCTACTTAAAATCGCACAAATAATAAGTTAAACATCGGTGAATCGTAACTACGTTTGAATGTTGGACATCCTTATCGAGAAGCTCGCTATGAACGATCGAGTAACTTGGCGCCAAATTTTACACAAATTCCCAGTGTGTTACCAACGTACCTTTTATCTCTCAATAAACTGATAGCATGCCCATCATTTGTACTTGCTTTTAGAAACAAAATGACCTTGAATTGGCAGCTCAAATCGGAAAGTCATTGCTTGATAGGAATCGAGACCTCGGCCGTCAACTTCGTGAATCGGAGCAGCAGATGTCTGCTGCCATGGAAACAGTAGGTTTTTAGTCTCTGCTTGTGCCTAGCTGAGTTCGTAAACTCTCATGTGACGAACATCCCTCCTTCCAATTCCCCACAATCTAATAGTAAATCCCCTCAAATGTTGGTTGAGGCATGGATAAGCTTAGATTCGAAACCCACTATTTCGAAATAGATAATGAAATCCCTCTATAAAAACCACAAATTTTGAATTTTGATGTGTGCGCATGTGACTCAATGCTCACCGACCAAATCATTATTTTTGTAAATTTTTTTATTCGTAGATTGCAGCTTACGAAATTTAGTGACTCATTTGAACTGAATTTTGCTATTAATCAAAACTCATAAATGGGTTTTACGAGCATCTCACTAGTGCGCGCTGTGATTTTGCGTAACACGTCTGGTAATTTCCTTAGAATCGAAATTTAGGTTGATGTCCCACATGTGTAAAATCCTATTTTTGCCTAGCAATACCGTTTCAAATTGTGATTTCCGATGTGCCCCAGTAGGTTGCTTTTTACCAAGTAAATATCTCTTACTGTTATTCATTTGTCTGGTACCTCAAAATCGAATCAATATTGCTACATGAAACAGTCTATTGTCGGCTGCACTTTGTTCTCTAGCCATTGTTTTTATTTACTTCAACAAGTAGGAGATAGGCGTGGCGCTCTTTCTTTAGATAAACCAGCTGCAGCACAGCCTAGGCATGAAGGAGGAGCTGCTGCAGATGTGGAACGACCAGAGCGCCAACGAGGCGGATCTGCCTTCTGCTGACGGGCCCTTTGGCGACCCCGAGGTGTCACGGTCGCGTTGTCGAAGCGAGACCTCTGGGTACGCCTCTCCTTTACGAATTCACGTTGCACTATGGAGTTTGCTCTTAATCAAGGTCCTTTGTATCTGGCTAAACTTATTTGATATTGTTCACCAACATGAGTGCCGTTTTCTCATTGATCACCAGCTTAAATGTGAAGTATTGTTTAGACATCAAAATACGTCTGCTTTTATGTACTGAATCGCTTCATACATAAATCAGTGGATACTGTATGGTCTGCTATGTTATGTTCTGTATTATGTTTTCTACTTTGTCAAAATTGTTGACACAACAAAGAGGTGGGTTTGATATCCATTTGCGCTCGATTCCCTCGTCTCAGCCATCAATAAATCCGTAGTACACTATGAACGCCGCCAATTTGATTCCTTCATCATCGCTTGAGCTTTTTGATACATGCTGCTACAAAGCGATGAAGTGTTATCGTGCGACATTGTCATGACCCATGAACAAAGCATCACTGCATTTGCTCTGCTTTCCACTAAATCGAACATACGTTTGGTGGGGATTTTAATCTCATTGACCAATTCGCCACAGATATCCGGGTATATGCCCTTACTGCCAACATCCCCTCTACCGGTCGCCGTGTTTGTCAACGTCCATGCGGTATGTTTGCTCTTCTCGGGACCGACGACTTCTGTATGTGGTTAGGCTTACAAATCGGCTTTTGCGGGGCCCCTATTCTACACTCGGTGCTTTTGTAGCTGCTTTTAATCGCAGTGCCTGCTCTCATTTATTTACTTTCGGCCCTATAGATCACTTGTCAATAAATTACTGAAAAAAAGCGCGCAAGACAGTTTGAATTCTGGAAAATTTTGTGATTTTTGTGGTTTTCTTGTTTAAAAACAATGTGTCTCTATATTCACTCATTGTTATGCACCTGGATTGCGATCATGCTTTGTTTTGACCTGGTGTAAAGTCATGTAATGTTATATTGTAACCCCTTCCTTTTTGACCATCCACTTTGGTTGCCATGAGATACGTTCTTTATCCGATCTCAAATACCTCACATGTTAAGCCTCTATGCTAAGCGTGAATTGCATCACCTTATTTCTACTTTTCTTCTGCCCATGTCTTTAAGTTCTCCTTTCTAATGTCTTACGTGAACCACTTATCTTTCAAAATTAAAATTGACACCTTCTTTAATCACGTTTGCAGGCTTTTCACATCGGCCTACCGGTTGCGTTTCCCACCAAATCTCTACTTATAACCTCTATGCAGTTGCTAAAACACGGACCACATTTTTGTTCACAAAATTAACATTAAGTGATTGAGCACAGTTATCCAAAGCATACTTTGTCAGCTACCAGCTTGCATCTCACTTGAAGTAGCGTTCACCTCCACCCCATCCCGTTTGCAACTTCCCGTTGTCAGTCGGCTATTCACTGCAGCGTTGCTATGACGTTGTTGCCTTCGTTATTACGTCTGTTGGAGGCGTATTTGTTTTTGCGTCTGTATGTTTGTGCGTGTTCGTACTTCTATTTGTCATTCCCGTTAGGGTAACTGTAACGCCCGAATCGTTACTGGTAATTCTACTTTTACCCCACTTCTTAGTATTACGTGAATAGACATACTTATGTGTAGTTTTATCGAACATTGGATGGCAAAAAATTGAGGAACACCCTTCTCAAGTTCGTCCGCCACATATGATATGAAGTAACGTATTTGGCATTGCTCAGATGACGCCTTCATAAGATTTCTGCACGTCATTTTGAATCAAATCTGATTGAGTTACTATGTTTCTACAACATTTGTTTAGTTAAATTGAGGGTGATTTTTTTTTGAGTTTTGTGTTTGGGTTCATCCTCCGTGTGTGCGCCGCAGTTCAACTAAAGTACGCTAACATGCCTCATTTATTTTTTAACAGCATATGCAGGAAGGCGTTGCATACACGCCACCCCGGGTGCTTGAATGCTTTGTTCCAGCGTGCTCTCCATCGTTTATGCTTTTCAGGAGGTTGTGTGTGGCTGGTACCAGTTTTCCATATTGGCTCACGCTTAAAAGTAATGGTTACTGCATGTGCATTAACAGGTAAAATGTGGTTGTAGAATCGTAGATACAATTGTAAAGGGGCTGGATTTTAGAGCCGTTCACCACCACAGTGACGTGCTAACGTCTATTTACCCGTGTTATGTCCGCAAGAATATACTTAATTTTCTCCCCAGCTGGACTGATGTGTATGTTTGCCTTATTCCTATGGCCTCATTTAATGCGCAACTTTTACTGCCAATTTTAGTAAAAACGGCACTCAGGCGAGCCAAGATGATATTGAGTTAATCCATCGAAAATTGCAAGCCCTGGAAGAGGAAAACGCCTCTATACGAAGCACGGTATGTCTCAGTTTATTGTTTACCCGCCCCTTTTTACGGAATATTGATTAAGAGTGCAATAGAATGACTGCCATGTCGTCTGCAAAAGGCTTCTTCTGCAGCATTGTTTATGCCAAGTACATCACATGATCCTACTGTAAATTAATTGGCAAGTGATCACTCTAGCGCTTCCTGCACACTTAGCGGAAGCATCTTTCAATATGTGTATTGGTCCAGGGCTAGAGCATTGCTTTTTTGGTCTATTTCAGACCCATGCTTCTGTGCTGCGCAATTGTGTGTCCAAATGGGTGTGACAACTTAATAATGTTGTCAAGAGCTTAGCCATACCTTTATCCAACTCGGTTACTTACGCCTTCTTGTGAGGGCCAGCGGGAAGCGGCTTAGGTGGCTTTATCCTTTGTTGATATTAGGGTAAACGCTAAGTGGGAACGCGTTGAAAATCCAAATTTGTCTTCCCAAATGCGAGATCAGTGTGTAATTCCGCATTATTGCCCTGATTCGGCACATTTGTACATTTCGGAACGTGAAATGATGCCTTTAGTTTACATTACTTTATGTATCAGCACCCGCTAACAACAGTATCAGGTCTTTATCAAAAAAGCAAATGCTCCATAGACCTCGAATAATGACTTATTTATGTTTTTATTTTTTTCATTTTAAAGCAGGTGAAATTATACGTTGCACTGTACGAAAATGGTTTGTTAAATATACCTTTGCATATATTTTTCCGTCGTTTAAAGTGCTGAAGGTGGCAGCATGGATAGTTAAGCAATCTAGGGTTTTGAGAGAAGGATAGAATAAGTTCATTCATTTAGTCTGTGGCAGAATGGCGACTTCACTGCAGTCTTTCTTAGCATCACTCCAATGGGAGCAGTTTCTTTTGCGCACTTTACGCTTTTTGTTTATGTCCCACACTTCCTAACCTGAGTTATCGTTCGGCTAATTGCGTTAACTTCAAGGGTTTGGGATACGTGCCTAAGATTTTAGTGGGGTTTTGTACTTCCACTATATGGAGCTACTCAATTAAAGCTGGTCTGCAATCCAGAACAGGATGCTTTCGTTTTTAAGTGGGCTGCACAGTAATTTCCGTGAATGTGTTCTGATTTGGTGGCTGTGCCACAAGAAGTGAAAGACCTACAGCCCCGCTTTTCTCAAAGTTTAAGTGGCCTATATGTTTTGGTGTAATTCCTAGCAGAAGGATGAGCAGCAGACAGTAACGCTGAAGGAGTGCCTGCGCAAATTGGGTGACGCAATGGTCTATATGAAGAACCTCTCTGACGAGCAATTCCGCCGCTCTGATGCCCTCATCCAGCAACAGAATCAGGTCAACGCTCTCGCCGCTCGCAGCCGAGAGTTGGAAAACAGCCTCAACCAGGTAGGACTCACTTCCCATGTCAATCTACTTTTCTGTTTGTGAAACCTAATCCTGTTTAGGAACGTATCGCTAATTGTTTTGGGTGTAGTCAGCTTTAGACCACGTGTATTGGTTATACACTACTGCTGCTGTATATTCCTCTGACCAGTCATTTGTTTGGGTAGGTCAGTTTCGCCTTGGATCAACGTAGCAGAAACGCGTAAAACAGTGTGAGAAAGTTATGGTCTAGTCTGCTCAAATCATGACCTCTGTCGAGGATTTACTTTTAGTAATTGTGCACTTTGGAAGGCATTTTTAATGCCTATCGCTTGATTTGATATTTCACATCTAATATATCTGCGCTACATAAAACCTTTAGTAATGTGACGTACTTCCGCAGCGAGCAGTCAACTGCCAAAGCTGTGTCAAGATTTGAGTTTATAAACAACTTTATTATCAAGTATACAAAGTTCAGAAGGCTAGATGTTGCAACCACGAAAACACAACATGGAGGCCATAACGTGACAGAATGCTTACTTACGTAGTATTTGGTACAACTAATCGTTGAAGGTTGGCCTGACAAACGAGATGCTCGCATCAAAGGTGGAGGAGTTGAACACAGTGAATCAGAACCTGGTGCGTGAGTTGCGCGACATGAAGGACAAGTACGACGAGAGCCTGACCCTGTACACTCAGGCGCAGGCCACGGTGCGCAAGTTGCGCGATCGGTCGCGGCGAGCCAGCCTGCGGCCCACGCGCCTCCTCTACAGTTCAATCGAGGGTAGACAAGGCACTGATCCCTTCTCCTCGCCTCTCACCGATAAGCCCCTCTCCATAGCCGATGAACTCGCCCTCTCTCTCCGCGAAAAGTACTTCTGTCCCTTTTGACTCTGTTCTACTTTTGATCCGTCAGTAGTTATAGTATGCTTTCCTTCGCAGATCCCCGCAGTCTGGTGTAGCTCTCTGTCCAATTGATCGCCGTTCTTGCCAGGCTGTAGATAACACCATGGAGATGCATCCCAATCAAGCAGCCTCCAGGATGCGGACGGGAACTGAGTGTACCGACTGGGACGATCCCACCATCGATAGTAGTGGTTTCGCCAGCTGTTCAGGCACGATTTGTGACTCGTGATAAGCAGATTTTACTTTTTTCTAAGTTTACCAATTACACAAGTTAATTGAAGAGGACGTTTTGTTTACTATTACTCTTGCACCAAAGTGTAATGGGTCGGATCTGAGTCACCATCTCATCTTAATTACATAGAAATTTTACTGTCGAAGTGGTTGCAATATTGTTGCTATAGCTGTTTCGATGGGATTCTGAAACCATGCTTAATGGTTGCCATCATGGCTATAGCTAGGTGATTTTGCACAGGGTTCACTTTCCAAAATTTGTCGGTTTTACTTAAATATGATTTTTAACAAAAGTACGACTATTTGCTTCAAGCTTTGCAAGTAATTCGTTTGGTGAAAGCCCTTGAAATATGAATCGAATGTCGAATGGTAGCGAGTCATGCTAATACCTTTTATTTTTCTTTGGTGGTGGCGCTGGCAGACCCGATAGACTCCGCGCACCGAGCATCGGGGGGACGTACTGAGGAATCCTCACCAGCAGTGGTTGCGGCGCTGCTGGACAGCCGACGTCTGGTCCTCCGGCATGGCCTCGACTGGGATGTGGATGAATTGGAGCAGGAACCAGAGGTGGAGGAAGACGAGGACGAATCCTCTGAGGTTATTCGCGCTTTTACCCAGCACCACACCTCTCTCCAGCTCACCCCCATCGACCAGTAAGGCTACTTTTCCTTCTCATTTTGTCACTAATCCTGTCTTCCACTTCCCTCCACCCATCAAATTGTAAAGTCTCAATACCACCACATACTCTCCTCTTTTAATTATCATTGAAGATGTTCTACCCTACCTCTTCGTAATGACTATTTTGGTTCTATTACTGATACCTTTTTTCCTCATTAAGAGCAATTCAACGTCCGAAGCTGCCGGATGTGCGGAGGCCGTCCCCCTTTTCTCCATCTTCGCGTGAGCCTTCTGTGAATCGCCGCAGTTGGGTGGTTGACCAGAATGCTGCCGCACTTCCGCCGCAGCACAGCTTCGATGATAGCACCCTCGGCTCAACTGGTCTGACATCCATCTTTGCTCAGGCCGTGTAGGCAGCTCATTTGACGTCGCTTTTCTACTGCAATCAACCTATACTAGCATTTTTAAGTACTAATAGCACTCCCCGAAGTCTAGGTCGTTAAAATTTGTTACGAAAAGCATGTTTTAGTAAAAGTTTATTGTATATAACTCAGAAATGGACCCATGCGCAATGGTTTTGTCACTGTGCTTACACAATTTTCACTAGCGCAGTCAGGACTAGCACAAAACTGCAGCAGTTGAGGGTGGGGGTAAAGGTGTTAGTGGACGGAAGAGTTTCAACTATGTGGCCTTTTAATGAATGTTTCCGAATTTTGTATGAGCTTGGTAAACTATAAAGGCTCTACCTTACAAAAATTCTGTTTAAAATCATTCTTTTGGACCTTTTTATTCTGATAGTTGTCATTTAGCCTTTGGACTTTGCAGATGAGTCAATTTGGATTATTCAAACTTCAGTGTTACATGTCAGATCGAAATATTCAACAGCTCCTCTGATTGAATACTTCTTAGAGCACATACCATGTTTTGATATATGGATGCGATGAGTTATAAAGGGGGGAAGGATGCGCTAGTACCTAACTAGCTTCTCTTTGTTCAAGACGTCCTCAGCGCCTGCAGTTGGTGAAGCAGTTGCAGGGCTCGGGCGTGCTACAGCGGTGGCAGCGCTTGGCGACGCCGAGCCTCACTGCTGCGTTGTATGAGGGACCTCTTAGTGGAGTGGCCAGTCGCGGCGGTGTCCCCTTCTCCGATTCCTTTACCCCCACCAATGTTACCTCCGTTTCTTCTTTCCTATCCCTTCGGTGGGCCTCTGGTGCTGATCTCAGTAAGTTCCATCTCTCTTCTCACAATCTAAGAATGTCGGGCCACTGCATCTATGACAGCTTATTCTAACAGCATTCCTGAGTTTAATGCTTCCACTTTTGAACCCATTTCGCGTTGAGACCGGTTTTATTTAAGAAATTAGATTTCCTTTTCACCGTCTATCGAGAAGCTACATGGAGTCTGCTTGTTTACTTCGCATTGGTAGAATTAATTTACATTGTTCAAAAAAACCCACTAGAGTGGTGCTGTGCTGTCGGCAGATGGAGCCATGTATGGTCTTTGATATACTTTAGTCCTTAGTCCTATGGTTTACCTTTTTTTAGGTCAGATGCACCCCTCATCAAGTCCGAATCGCGACATTAAATTTGTCCCAATGTAAGTGCCTTCTCTGCCCTACTATGCTTTTTGAGTTTGTTGTACAGTGCCCCGGCAGTGTCCACGCTTCTGTGTACGCTGATTTGAATAGCTATAGTTATGAGCTTTCTTCATGCTTAACTGCGATTTCGTATCATTAAATTGTCAGCTCATTTGTTCCTCCACCCATTCTCATTAATTCTTCTCCAAATTCACCTGTTCACGCCGTGAGCATAAAAAGATACACAAGTATTCAATTTCTAAGTCAAAATTTCAATTGAATCCCATCTTTGGCACGATGTAACCTTATTTAGCTAAACATAATTGGAAACATTTGCATAAATTAGACTTACCACTTTTTTATTTAACTAGAGTTTATCCATCCAGGCTTCAGTGTGTGATTGCAGATAGACAGGCCCTCCTGAAATTAAAGGCTCTACACTTTGATCGCCAATCCTTATTTTTTCTCGCCTGTAACTGGTAACATCCTGAGGCAAAGGTCCATTCATAAATAGGTCAATGTGATGCATTTTCAGCAGAACCAAGAAATTAAAAGACGGCATTATAAGGCTAATGAGTCTATTCATACCTCCTCCCTTCTCTCACACCGCTTACTGCTTTTGGTCATTGCTGCATTTGTCAGGACTTCACTGCTTACATTGTATTGGCCTACGTGGTGGGCGAACTCGCGTGCGTTTGCGCTTGGGTGGGGATTAATGTGGAGTGTTGATGGGGTAGCATAGGGGAAAGAAGTCTCCACCCGCTGTTCGCTAAGTCAGCATCTTACTCCCGTCCCCTCCCCTCCTCACGTGTAGGTACGGCGACCACCAGCACCCTTTACCCCATCAACACCAACAGCATCTTCTGTGTGGTCAGAAGAGTGGGTTTTTCTCCGGTTGCATTTACTCCTTTTGAGACTGGGCCTCACTTCTGTGCCTAGACTCCACCAGTTTTTCCGCCAGTCAGGGGCGCCTCAGCCGCCTGTGACAATTCGATTGGTTGGCTTCAAATGATGAATGGCCTGTCCTCTTCCCCCCTCTCCCTTCTTTCATCCTTCTTCGCTCCTCTCAGGTCAGAACCCGTGTCGCCTTGGACCGAGAAGCGGTCACTCAGCGTTAAGCGTCTCAAGCAACAGTAGCATAAATTTCACCAGACACAAGGCCATATCTCGTGTAACCCTAACTACTCCCCCTTTGTCAGACTGCATGCAAAACGCTTCTTGATTGGGAGCCTCCTAACTTTCCTCCTCCCTCAGCCCGCTTACATGCACCCATTCTTAAACGTGACCGTCCTAATCGCGTGTGTAGATATGTACCTGTTCATGGACGAAGTCAAAGTCTTATTTTTTACTAACCAATATGCCTTTCACTTTTTTAGTTCATCCCACACCCCCTTTCGAAACAGCGATGCCCCAGCCTTCACTGCAAGCACGGATAGGCTCTTGAGTGAATTCCTGGCGGCCTCAAAGCGTGCGCGTCCCATAGCGATGCCGGCAGTACGCGCAGGGTCCACGGTGGCGGCTGCGGCGACGCGGTGCACGGATGCTGTGTCGCAGACCCGCAGTCGACGCACCTCATCGCCGGCGCATGAATTGACGAGCTTTCGCGCCGTCTCGCCCGTGTGCCGGGGTCTTCTTGATGCCTCCGAAATGACCTCCGAGCCTCTGGACCTCGACGTCGCCGCGATCAAGGTACCCGCTCCGCGCCCCGCCTCGCCTCAGACGTCCACGCCGCCACCTTCCGCCTCTCTCTTTCGTAGACCCAACATCTCCCGAGCCTCCCCCACCCTCCACAGTGTCCAGGAAGAGGTTTCTTCATCCCATCTTGGAGCTTAACTTCCATTCCCGCCTCCTCTTTTCGCTCACTTCTCTCACTGCTTTTGCCATACTTATACCTTTTTCCTTTTTACGTGCAAATAAGGGTCATATTGGTCCATCGTGTAAATGTACCTTACTTAAATATATTTTTGCCGAAGATACATGGGTTCTCCTACTTCCGCTGGAAAAGAGTGGAAATGTTTCTTTTCTGGGAGTTAATAATGTCTTCTTATTGAACTTCGGTCGGCCAGGTTAGTTTTCACAAAATTTACTCATTATCACAAACAAATAGAACTTGCCCTTTGAAATAATATCTTTGAGTTATGTATGGCTGGATTGGTTATTGGCCAATGTTATTTCTACTCTGTAGAAATTAATATCTGTTTAACTTCTACCTATAATTTAAAGTAAGAACTAAAGTATGGCCTTCTCATTGAGATCAGAATTGTCGTGAAGTGCTGCGGCCGAGTTAAACTGAAAAGGCGGTTAAAGCTATTGTACACTACAGGACCAGCTGTCTTGACATGGTACATAGGAGTGTATTTACTATCCTGCTTTATGACGAAAACATCCCCAGTTGTTCATACACCAAACCTAATTACTTAAGCTGTCTTTTTGCAACGACCTGTCAACAGTGGCAGCTGCCACAATTCGTGCCATCCTGCCGTTTACCCACTGCGCGCCTCATTGAAACAACGCACAATACATGGTTTACACTTCCTCCAAAGCTCAACGGTGTATCTGCGGTAGGTTTTTCAACAATGAACGCTCGCTTTGTGCACCGTCGAAATAGGACGCAATTCACACTTGAGTAGACTGACAGCATAAATACTAAACTTTGATGAATGAACTTTGGTTGATGTGATTGTAGCTGACACTCGTATTGCATTTCCGCAAGCCGGTTCAGTTGTTTGCCTCCTCATTGCGAAGTTTCATTACTTGCTTCATTTAAATGGTTTGAAACTTGCTCAACCTCAGATATTTCCTATACTGCTCCGTCTATATGCTTACCGGTGCTGAGACCCAAGTTCCAGTCAGGGAACAGAAGAACCCTACTCGTGTAGTAACGCGTCCGGTTGCTCCACGTGCCGCTGTGATTAAAAACTGTCAGGAATGATTAACAAAATCTTATTTTTCATCAGTGTGAGCTTCTACCTCCTAGCTTTATTTCTCGAAGCATGCATTTAACTCATTCGCATGAGTCCCAATTAGCTGTTTCGGTGATCTTTTCTTTATGGTATCAGCCAAGCCAAAATCAGTGGTTGGGGAATGCAACTATTCACCGTCGCAACCTGTACCATTTCAGGCGAATGTAGAAGCGCATTCGCCATTTTACGAAAGTTCATGAGAAATTGTACATGCTGAGCAATTGTACTTATCTTAGTGTAAATTTCAAGCGGCAGCCTTCGACACTCCATTCCCCACAAGCGAAACAGGGTGCTTGAGGTTCTCTGCCTACTATCAGTGGTCACATAGCGTGGTTTTGCCCCTCATATCAGCATAACAGTATGAAATCGCTGCTTTGATATTCACACTTAATGGCATTTTCGGGATCCTCCATACCTTACATAACCTTTCTGACTGTGCCGTTTGACATCAAATATGCATATAGTCTGTTGTAACGGAGTGGGAAATATCTCATTAAATGGTTTAGAGAAGTGTAACGATTTCAGAAAAGATGATGTATTTGAGTACCAATGACTGAATTATCACGTAGGATTACCGGAATTCCAGAAGAATTCAACTATTATTTGGAGGCATTAATTTGTAGCCAAGTCTCCAAGTTGAGTGACGCCATGATCATCATTTTTAATTTCCAGTAAAGAATACGCTTTGGATCACCGAATTCAATTCTTTTCGTTGGTCTATGTCAGCTTCCTGGTGCAATTGTCTCCTTACGTTTTTTTTGTTTCAGCCGGGTGTTATACCCAGACACCAGACTTCCTTTCATTTGATCTTTTCATACACTCTCGAAAATTAAGTGAGCTACCTTTCTGTCCGCCACTTAAGTATCTCGTCTTAGCGGCCAAGCCTGCAGTCAAAAACTCCGAAATTGCACTCGTATTTCCCGAGGTAAATTTACGCTTTATTGGAAATGCTGGTTGACACTCGCGGCTCCCCTAAAAACAATCCAAATTTGTGCACCATTTTGGAAGAAGAGAGCAAAGGAAGTGTTTTTGTCCAATAAATATTGTTGGCTTTGCCTGTGGTCTAAACTGGGAACTGTGAGTCACTAGCTTTGTCATCAATGGTGGGGTGGATTAATCTTCCCGGGTCAGAGGACGTGTGGAGATTTAGGGTTGGGTCTGTCAAATAAGCGTGTCTCTAGCATTGGCGCCGGTGAAATTTCGGTGCCATTCTACTAATTATGCGAACACGTGATTAATCGCGCTCCCGCCCCTCACACAGTGAGTGCTGTCCCGTACATTGCAGCGTGGGAGGTGGAAGACAAGGGGGCATGCAGGGATTGGGTTTAATCACGCGAGGGAGCAATTATGGGCGTTGACAGATTCGGCAATTATTCACCTGCTTAATCGCTCACTCTGGAGTGACTGACATGTCAGACATTAATTGTGAGCTACTCTTGATATCGTCGAAAACAATCAGCAACGCGCTGTCACTAGTCCCTTCCGGTCCACACTCTACCCGGGTTGCCGACGCATCAACAACCATCAACAGTACCATTTACAGTTCGTAGTCAGAGTTCCCATTTGATGAATGAAAGGTTCTTTTCATTCCTCTACACATGTTAAGTGTTGAAATGAAACGCGCTATTGTACTGAATCTCACTGATGGCAGCCAACGCTAAATTACCTAAATACGCATACAATCGGTTCAGCAAAAAAGTCACGTTCTTTACTCAAGCATTCATTTTTAATTGTTTTTTAGATAGGAAACTGATCTTTTTTTGAAAGTATGCCGGATAACCTCAAATCATGGAACATTGTTGGCTGCACCACCGTGTATGTGGTATAAAAATTAATTCTTCAATTTTAACGACCAACCATGCAGAAAAATGGAGCTAAACATTGATGAAAGAATTGATATTTATGTGTTCAGTGGAATCCAAAGGGCACCGTTAATAATGAGTCAATTCAAAGGATCAGATAAACAAACGTTACCTGATACTACTACCGACTCAGCACCCCTCAAGGAGGTCGATCGAGCTACTTCAAATCCCAGGGAGTCAAAATCACCAGAAAATATTTTACCGATTTACTCAGAACACAAGCAACATGCCAATACGCCTGAATGTACATAAACATTGCTAGCTTGTCAACATTTGCTATTCCCGTCTTGACCACCCGATGCTCCATTGAAAGCAACATTTGTCCGTTTGTAACCATTGAAACTTCCTCTATGCAATTTTACTTTTAAAATTTTACAGATGAATATTTTCACTTTCTGGGATGGGTACGTGAGTGATGGGGCTCAGGTCCTATGCCTTGTAGCACAACCCCCCTTTCCGTATTCCTCCATAAAAGGTGTCATGCTTAGCGTGAGGTCTGGTAAGGAACAAGGGAGGGGAAGTAACTGAAGGCAAAGCCACCGGGGTGATACCTTTGGAGGATCCTTAGACGCGCCTCTTGTCGTAATAGCAGAAGCGGTAGGAGACCTCCCGCATCGGTCAACAGTTGCTGCTCCGTCAATCACAAAATCCCTCCACCACTGCACCAGACTGCCTCTCAGGAGAGGGGGCTATAAGTGCTAACGACAGAAAACAGAAACATGTTTTAAGCACAGAATGCTATCTGAGTTATTTTAACGTTAGTTGGACGTAGAACTTACTGACAATGTGTGGTGGAGTGTAATCAAATGTGGTCAAAGGGGGCTTGTGTTATGATCGCTGGGGCAGAACTGAAGGATATCCTGTTGGAAGTTCTATCACGAAACATATCCGCAGGTATATAATGGAAAGTCTTGAAGTCCTCCCTTAAAGACTTCGTTTAGAGGAAAGAATTTAATTAACAGTGTATCTTTAACGCTGAAATTAGTGGAATATTCCCTGCAATTGAGGTGTAAACCACGCCTGTGTGAGAAAACCTTCCATATACATTCTCTTACCATCAGGTGTATTCAAATGGTTGATAAACCCTACAACTAGGCGGTAAGTATATGTTAATTACGAAAAATGTTTCAAAAAGCGTCTTTTGTGCGTCCAAAGAAATAGCGGAATTGGAAAGGAATTCCCCGATCAGAAATTCGATTCCATATGGTAGATATTCGACAAAAATTTGCTTCATTAACAGTCTGATGCAAAAATCCTCTCTGTACGGAGGGTTTACTTGATGGTGGGTTACTTTATTTGGAACTTGCAAGGAAGAATATAATAAAATGAAATTACGATCCCTAATTTTGAATGCGTAGAAGTTTCGTGGAGCGTTTCTTAGTCCACTCAGACAGACCGCCCAAGTATCCACGCACATGCGGATGATCTTTAGTTCCACAGAGAGCACGACAAATATGTTAAAGCAATTTCATTGGCGCGTTATGAAGTACGTTGTTGCGAACACTTTTAGTTCTTGCAACTGTGTGTCAAGACTGCCATTACAGTGGGCATATGATAATCACCATTTCGAATAGAGCCCAAACCGAGGGTGCCAACAAGGTAGATGTGAGCCCATCCCAATGTCAATAGCCCCGGGTAGGATTCCGGGACCAGGACCACCCCGATTGGCGAGCGGAGAGAAAAGGGGTTAAGGGGAGCCTCTACTAGCTCAGGTAAACGCGTGAGGGGTTCGCAGGGGGAGCGATGTATTGCCGTAGGGGGAAGAGAAAAAATTCGACGACCTTCAGTTGGTGGTCTCTTCAAACCCAGCCTGCACTCATCAAATAAATGACATTTAAATTAAATTGTCGCAGTTTTGACCAGGATCTTTTTCTGTCAAGTTTCAAATTTCGCAGACATTTCCGCCTTGATGGTCAAAAATTCACTTCCCCAATGTTTACGTCTTGCCAAGTTTTTGATAGTCCGTCATGTTAATGGCAAAAAATGATTTTTAGGAAGGACTAGATGGATTTGGTCAATTGCAAATCCTTATTTGAAATGGACAAATACATGGAAATAGTAAAACAATACGCTATTCGAGCTAATCTCCTTAACTGAGCGCGTTTGATGAGCCTGTCTTCAGGTCATACCCCATTTATATGGCAAAAGGATTCATTTAATTAAGGATCGACAAAACTTAATTTGTCACTCAAAATCATCCAAACGATGCAGTACTCGCCTTATTAAGAATAGTCTAACATTACTAACATTTTTACCCGGATTGTTAGATCAAAACGCTGGCTTTTGTCTAGATTAGTGAAACATGCTCATAAATTTTATCCGCACTACGAATCAGTTAATTTGCCTTTTTTATGTACATCCACTTATCTTCATCTTTGACCTCGATAAGATCTGAGGATTTCTAAATAAGATTGCGAAATGTGCGAATCGGTCGCTAACCCACGCGCTCTTTGGTGTTGTTAAATGGATGAAAACCTGTACTGCGCTTATTGGGACATTTATCTTATTCTCACCTCCTTACAGATAAAAAGGAGCATGTAGAGGGGAAAACGAGAATCCTTTTCTGGTCCAGTCCGCGAAGCAATCGTTTATTCCTCTTGTCATCAGAACCATTGCCTTTACACTGGACATACGTTTGGGCATATGAAGGGGTAGCAAAGTTGCTTCTAATCTTCTGGATTGAGATTGAAAAACTTAAAGCATCTGGTTGCAGTTTCACGAGCTCGAACTAAATAACAAATGAAGCGAATTGGAGTAAAATTAAAAAAGTGCTGTCAAAAAATGCCTATTCAAATCTTAAAGATAAAATGTTAAGTGTTAACCACATCTGCAAAATATCTTTACTGGTTCTGATTCACGATGTGAAATAAAACTTGGAGCTGGAGTGAGTAGTAAACATTTTAGTGAGTAGATTAGGTGGCAAACGATAAATGTTTGGATTATCAGCTCTCTCTGAAATACTCCTCTCAAATGGTCCTTCAGGGCAGTGTATCCACGGTGGGATTTAACAAGTCAGCCGCGTTTAAACAAAGTGCAACCAATTGGACTATATTATCAAAGTAGAAAATATCAACCATATAACTTCTTTTCTGGACCTCAAATAAGGTTAAGTAAACCATGGGCCTTTTCAAAACACTTTCACATAACATCCTTGGCATAGGTTCTTACCCTGAGAGCCAGGGAAAGTGCAATTGTGGGACATCAGTTTCTCGAGTAATCTGTTCCGAATTTAAAGCAATTGATGTTGTCTGCTCTGTTAATGGCTCCATGAACTTGACTGAATCCGCTATTAATCGAACTGCAGTCTCCATCTTCAGTTATGATTAATAAAGCTCCTGTGTCTCCCATAAATGCACAGGCAGCAATGGCGGACCCAGCTTCATTCTGTGGCTTGTATGGGTTGCATGCATTGAAATTACTCAGTATATAAATAAATAAGCTACTTTACCTAATATTATCTTTAATTAGGCTGTTATATGGACATTAAAGCACAGTACCGATGCGTTTGATTGGGTGCAGCAATAGATGTAGACATAAATGGTGTTGATTCATAAAGTTTATGAATATATTTGCTTTTGGTCAGAAATGCAGCCTTGTGTAGCCGCATCACCTCTAAAATATGAAATAGCAAATGTAAACAAACATCCAGGTGAAATCTGACAGTCCGCACTTTACCTTATTTGTAGCTAACAATAGCATATTTGGCTGATACGTGCTTGGTTTGAAATTGAAATCCTTTAATTTCAACCCTCTTGAGGATCGTGAAGAAGTTATTTTTATTATTGACAGGTACAGGTGGTACGATGGGTCTTTATTTCTGTGACATCTGACCTTGGTCGAAGATTTGACCCTATAGGAAAGTGGTTTCTGAAGCGTTGAGAGTGTAGCTGGCTCTAGCTATTTCTATTTTCGACTAAACAACACCCTTTAATTAATAGACCCCTTCAGCTAGCCACATTTACCTAGCCGCTAGTGTAACGACCCAGAAATTGTTAAGAGGGATTAAGGATGGGGCAGAAACTGTTCGAGTAATATGGACTTCAGTGTTCTCTTACTTGCGGCCTTTTAAATGAGACATTGCGGAGGATAGGACTGGGATGTGGAAGGACAGGATGGATGAGTTCACTTGTCCAAAGGTCGAATTCTTTGACTGTAAGCATAACTCATAGTAGAAGCAGTTTTTTTGCGATTTAAGTATGTTACTTTGCTCCAGCATTCTTGTTCTGCTTTTGTGTACATCACTCACAGGGCAAAAGAGAAGCATAATTTGGGGTTTTCAAATGTAATTGACGTTTTAAACGTCACATCATTTGACCCTTTCGGATCTGCTCAACCAAGACTTTGCTTACTACGCGAGTTTTTCGATTTCCCAGTTAAAGGGTTCACTTCCTACCACACCTGCAGCAAGCATTTCTCTTCTGCGACATTTACCTCGGGCCTAGTATCGCCAATTCAAATAAGTGTTTTGCCACAGTACATAAAAGCACTTTGCATTTTCAGAAAAGGGCAGTGGCTTATGGTGCGGGTAGAAGTACTCCGCATTTTAGACCTTTAATCTTGGAGATAACTGCGATGAGGCCCTGTCACTAGCGTTAGGGTGAGGGCAAATGCATACAAGCACATAAACAATGTGACAATCTCACCTTAATGTCCACTCACGTCAACGCGCTTGGCTGTGTGCCTCTCAGGACTCCTCCCTCCCCCTCCCTTCCGAAAGATTTTATAAATCACATTCACGATGTTAGTTGCTAACACGACATTACTCATTACTTGTTACCACCCTTCCCGACTCGTTGACATTTTGCCTCCTCTTAAGGCGACGTCTTGAGGACTGAGCGAACCCGAGCAAATGGAGCAGACCCCTTGTCTCCACAATGGGGAGTGAATCATGCAATTTTAATGACCCTCTTCACCGAAAAACTGTCGAATCTATTAAAGTCGAAGAAACTCTGCGCTGTGGTGAAACAGGTTAAAGGGTGGGATGCCGCGACAGACCCCTAGGTTCATATGACAGTCTCGCAGCCATGACTGGTCTTCGCAGACTACAGCACACACATTCCATCAGTACTCGCCTGTCATGTCTAAGTACTTTAACATGACCATTAATTTCAGACACTGCATTATAAATTAATTTACTTAGCTAAAAATTCCACCTTTTTGCATACCTGAATGAACTTTATCAACCAACCAGAATCTCAGCTTGTATATGCCATTTCAAGTGATAAATAGTCATTACGCCTCAAAAAGACAGGATCACCGTATTTACTCAATCGATTCACTTTAGAATTGTTTCCTTCAGTATTCGTTACAAGTCAGTGGAATGTGTCAACAATTAAGTTGTCTGCCAAAATCTCTTCTAAAGTAGTATTTCTTCTTTATCTCCCCAACTTACCCACCTGATTACTGCGCCCTGCCATAAATCTGAGCTAATCAAGATGAAAGTCCGATGGTGGTAGCAACGAGTCGTAATAACGACCGTGATTATCAGTTCGTCCCGCCTACAGCATGCATCCCAAGCACTGGCGCAGGTGTCTAAACCCTTCTCTCCATCCCTTCACTGTCCTACCTCCTCTCCTTCGGTGGGCCACCTACGATGACACGAAAAAGGGTGGAGAATGCAAAAGAAATCAGATCAATTTCTTTTCTGTAGTCAGTGGTGTAAACTTCGCCTCGTCTGCTCTAGGCTACACCCCTTCCAATAAGAGTCCCAGGAAAAACCCTGTTCTTTGAGCACATTCTATTTTAATAATAAAGCTTACTTCCAAATGTGTGTGTGAATTCGCTAGAGACGGTATTCCACTTCGGTAGTATCGCATAACAAACATGATGGAATGATACGGCAATTCAAAGTAACTCGCAGAAGTAGCTACAGAAAGTTGTCTACACTGTATTTAACGCATTTTTACATCTTAGCGAAGTGAATTGTGACAAGTAAATTTATCTGTTTCACTTGGTTACAATGTCAAAGTTGATAAAGTTATGCCATTCCAGCTATTCATTTGCTTTTTCCGAGCTTACAGCGCGCACTTCACTGCTTCAGTGGGGCTAATCAGAAGTGCTTCCGTGAAGGAGTGCAGCTTTAGTCTTGAGTGAAAAAGTGTAAAAATGTTGCGAATTAAGGGGAAAAAGTCCCAAAAAATGAAACTTTTTTGGAAATTTAATGCGTGCATGTGATTTACTCGCAATGCAATGTGAATGAGAGGTTCAAACGATAAATCCATCGTTCGTTCACCAATCGGTAATTTGTATTTCTTAAAAATAATCCTTTTCCACATTCTAGTGATTGATTAAATTCGATGATACGAAAACAAGTGATGAATAGTTCCTTCTCAGTTAATTCTCACAAATGGAACGGCTTACCTTACCCAACAATGTGTGGAAATGCGCTACCGATATCTTGATAATTTTTTTTTAACGTTTACTTTTCTCTGCACACTCATTTTTCACATCATGCAAATCAGCAACCAACGGTCTAAATATCTGTGAGACCCAAACTACGCACCACAAAGCTGGATGGTTGCCACGGTGCAGCAACTGGTTGTTCATCTGCGCAGAGCATATTACTACCCTTACAAATGGATTCCCCGCGTTTTTAGAAGACTTTAAATTACAAAATAAACTTAAATAGAAAACAACTAATGACTAATAATATTGGTGTTTAGTCAAATATTGTTGTTTGCAAGTGTATTTTAGATGCACAAATTATGTCTCATTCACAGATATTGTGTGATGTGGCCCACAGACTACTCGTGTGAAAGGGGCGCAGTTACTTGGTTGTATAGGATGATTTTAATCGCAGAACCAGGCTTTAACTAGCTTAGGGGCTGCAAAGGTAACACTATAACCACTATAGAGATAAAAAATTCAGTAAAAAAGTGTTTAATCAACGCTTGGGGTCTGACGGAGCATTAATCAAAGATTAAACAATATATTTCTTTTTTAAAATTGGAACACATGCTGCACAGAATGCATGTAAATTTACTGTTGCAAGAACTACCTTTTTAATTACATGAGCGCGTAAAGCGGCCAAGTGGGTAGAGACTGCATGGGGCGAATTCCTTTTCTCCCTTCATCAGAGACATGCGCACCACATGCAATTACACGAGTATCCATTGGCCAACTAATCATGGAGGAAATGGTTGAGGGCGTATATTTTGCGAAATTGGCGTTGCAGTAGACCACCCTGAAATGAATGAGTAATTTACTAAGTGGAAAAACCCGCATCCACATGCCGTGACTCCCCTGAAGGGAATCGAGTTTTGGTCGCGCCTTCTTCTGTGTGCGTGTGTCTACGTGATAGCTTGAGATGGAGGAAGAGCAGGCTGGTGCAGTCGGCTTTACCTCCCGCTATTTTTCCTGTCAAAAACTCGATAAGGTCAAATCAAATCTACGTCCCAAGTATTAGCCGCAATAATGCGCCAAGCCTTCAAAAAGGCAATCATCGAATCCAACTACCTTCCTCTAATCAAATGGACTTTGTTTACTCCCATTGGGAAGCAGTGTACTATTTAAGGTGATCACGGTATCTGAATTGTTCATAAAAGGTGCTAACGCATCATTTGTAAATGTTTCAAGGTACACATTCTAACAAATTATTTCTGTTATTAAGTTTAACAGCCTAAACGATGCTTTTAAACTATGCAAGCAATGAGAACGCTTAATAGTAGACCTCTTGGTCAATGCACTTCTAGACCCCGCAGTTCTGTGGCTAAGGATTTTCGAAAACGGAGGCAGGGGAACAACTCGATTCAAGGATGGTACCTCAATTTAAGCTGTGTTGTTACCAGAGTATTTACATAAGCTGAAAATACGATAAATGTAATTTGTGGCGTTGTGAATTGCATTGTTTACATTGGCAACAACACATCAGACTGACAAGTTCCTTAACTTTGGGTGATCGGAAACGCCTACATTACTGGCAATTACGATGATGCAGTAATATTTACTAACCAAATATTTCTTTCACTTTAATCAAATGAATGTAAGCATATTGTTATCATAAATTTGAACCCCAGTGCTAACTAAGTCATGCCTTTTGCCTTCTCGAATATTGGAATGGGTGCCACCACTGATAAGACGAAGAAATGGAATATCCGAAATAGCTCTTCCATGTGAATGCGTACCAAGTCCGCTGAATTGCGTGAAGTGTGCAACCTTGTGCTCAATGACATTTCGCTTTACTGTTTTGCAGATTGAGTGCAGCTTTTTCTACACTAACTCAACAATTTAACCACTTTTGCGTTGAAGCTATCATCAATGGATGTGATTGTAATCACGCAGCTTCCGATATGGTAAATAAGCGGGCCATTTGAACTAATTCATCATAATTGCTAAGTAAATGTAAATTAATATTCGCCCACCAAAATCCACTTTTAAAACAGTTTTAGCAGACATGATTTAAGAACTAGTGTTCATTTTCTTCTACAGTGGCAATAAATTTGTACCGCGGGCAGCATTGAGAAAATGGGGTATTCACAATACAAAAAGTGCTACTGAGGCCAAAATGTCCCCAAATTAATTATCTCAAACTGCACTGATGTAAGTCGTCGATGTAAATGGTTTCCGAAATAGCGTGTAGTACAATGAATGATATTTCTGACTGGATGCAAAATCATGGAGAAAGATTATTTAAGGCTACTTAGGAGGGATGACCGCATAAAGATTGCGTTTATTCCCACACGGAAGCAGTAGATCACCCGATACAGTGCTACTGGATATTCGCGGAGGTCGCGTGGCTGTAGTTTGAAAACAGCAACAACAAAATGACTTTAGCATTTATATTTTAGGTGAGTTACTTTCGTCGACGATATTTAAGGACCTGATAAGCCTACTACTCCCTCCTTCTCACAATTTATTTCTTAAGTATTCATAATAATGTGGTAGAACTTACGTTAACGGAATATTATTGTCTAGTTATGGAAACCAAATAACAAGGTTATTCTGAGCTGGTGATTCTCCGACCGCGCTTTTTAGGCTATCGAATTCTCCAGTGCAGAGGGCGTTTGTGCGGATTTTCCCACTGACCCACTTAGATCCTGTGGCCTTCCTCCCGCCCCTAACAGCTGACGTTTTCGCACTTCTCCGCGCTTTCGCCTCGTGCGGTCATCCGTTTACGCAACGCTTTCAGGCTTCGGAGCCGGGTGAGTCACTGGAAGCCCAACGAGGGCGAGGGCCAAAGAATCGTCGCTTGCTGCACTTCTTTCCTCTCTATTATTCGCAGTGCACCCAACACGTGTCGTGGTGGGCAGAAAATCGCATATTTATGCAAAAACAATTGCTTAAAATATCCTTACTTGTTCATAACTTTCAAAACTTACTGCAGTAGTAAAAAACGTCCTGGGATATCAACTTCAAATTCACATTAGATTTATGTATCAGTGCTTATTTTAGCAACAAACTTTGGCAGAATGTGTGTGGTAGTTATCACTCAATCATTTCTCTTTTTTGAATATGGCGTAGTGCTGTGCAACATGGCAATATGCTCCCTCCGTGGTGGGTTCGGACCCGCCTAGAACGTTAACGCGTACCACACCACTGGACCACTCATTACATCATGAACTTCAAAAAAACCTGAAAATTAATTTGTGTGAATCAGTGCGTTATAAAGGATGGAGAGACATCTAAAATTAAATATTTAACCCTTTAATGTTTAGCTAAAGCACAGGGAAGACACAAAATTGCTTATAGTGTACTTTACAGCAAAGAGGAGGTTTTTCCAGTTGAAAAGCTTTCAGTGAATTTCTTGTTAGGGTGGATCAAGAGTCGTTATTCTTTGTGGCGAATATGGTGAAACTACACAAAGTGGCAGATATCATTCAATTAAATCGAAATGATAAGAATTGGATTTTGTTCCCAAAAAGTACATCTTTTAGGAGAATTTCACTGTGCAACGGCTTTTGCTCGACATATAAAGGTTTTGTATACAGCTTCCTATAAAGTGTTTATCGGACCAAAGCATCAGGAGTGCGAAGACTTCGATTGTGGAAGCGCAGAGACGGCCAGACGGAGACATGAATCGTGGACATACGACGTCCACCAGTCAAGGAGCAAGAGGGAGGTCTTCACGGGTGGTCGCAGGGTCATCTGGCCGGTGGCCAACTGCCACGCGGAAGCACCACCCTTTGTGTCTCCGCGCCCTCTTGATACTCGCCTCGCCACCGCCCTCTCTCCCTCCCACTCTCCCCTTCTGATGATGAGAATTTACGTGATTGCGAGTGGCCAGGCTAGTGGAGCCGTTGTGCCTCACGTCACTGCATTTGTCCGTCTTGGAGACTGTCTTCCCTGCTCCCCCTCTAAAAGCACCACTGAACCAGCGTGTGAGAAAACTGTGATTACCGCTTACCGCCCTTTCTACTGGTAGCTTAATGGAACCATTTGACTAGTCTCCCCATAATCTGCTTATCACTGTTTTAATTTTTACAAACTGATTCAAATACATGACTTGTGCTACTCTTTTGTATTAATTCAAAAGAGCATTTACCTCTTTTGGGTTAGCTAAATCAGTAACAAGATTATTTAGATAAAATGGGTAAGAGCTAACCGCATTACCTTACCAATTTAATTTCCTGTGGTAAGTATTACCTGGAGTAATTAAATTAGCATAAGGTTGTGGTGGAGATGTTGACCTCCTTTGCTCTCCGGTAATTTCCTCACTTTGGCTTAATTTTTTAAAATTATTTTTGAGCTCTGCTCAAACTCCTAACGATGCGGTGAAAAATAATGAGTAAGGGAAAAATTAAAGAGATGGTAATAATGACTGTTGGAAGGCTTTGTATTTACCTGTTCCCTCTTTAAGGCAGAACCCACTTTTTATTTAGTCCATATAATCTGCAAACCCTATTAAATTATCTTCATTCGCTGTTTTCCTTCCTTGTATGGGACTGTAGCATCGGCCTAAACTATACTCGGCTCCCGCAAGCTGAGGGAACTACCCACTACTACTGCACATCGGCACTAATGTTCACATTTCAACCCGATGTTCAGTTCTGCTAAACTTCAGAGCGAGACAAGGGGCTACGAGATTTAAATAACGATGAACTATTGCTGTAGGTCGGATTCCAAAAAAAGGAGGAAAGCCTTCAAAGTTGCACCATTTTACAGCGATGAAAATATGTCGCATGAAGAGACTTGCCAGCTTGGGTTTCTAGGTTGTCTGAAGATGCTGAAATGATCACGCAAAAGTGAGGGTATAGATATTTCATAGCCACACTAATGCAAACAATGCGGAATTAATTTATAAATATTGTTCGCAGAGGCTCGTTATATACTAAGGATCAGTACAAAAGATTAAGTAATATTTGAAATTGTTTAGGTAGTTGATATCCGAAAAATTTAATAGTTAGTACAAAAACTAACTCACATCCGCCCAGGTGATGAAATTGATCGACTTACTTTCCCCCACCACTAAAAGCAGTGTTACCTACAAAATCAGCTATGAGGGAGGCGAAATAAACCAAGGTTCCTCGTGGACAGGGAGCATATCCCACTTGTCAGTTCTCTTAATCAAAATTTAACTAAAAACTTGCAAATGAGCTATGTTTCGCAGTTGAAGAGCTCGTTGCTCCATTTTGTGTTATTTCTTTGTCCTAACTGTCTCATTTTTAGGCTGGGTTAAAAATATCTCTTTTAATGGTCCAATCACTTTATCCGAAAATGTTGCCTCTCCATTAAGGAAAAGTCGACAACGAGCTTGAAGGTTTACCTCTTCGATCATTTAACACTGCACATCAGTGAATAAATTGCTAATTTCAAACTTAATTTTTTGCGTATATTTTCAGTAACTAGGAGAGAGGTGAGAAAACCCGAAATCTTATTTTAAACATCAAAATTTCACTGAATTCGCCTGTGTATAAACAATTTCAACTTAGATTAATTCATTTAATTTGCTTTTAAAAGTGCGACAGTGAAGCTCCATGTCATATCCTAAGCTATTATTTGACTCGTACGAATGGAACTAACGTAAACAGATGATGGCACGAAAACCCCTCTCCCATATAAAATTAGTCGAGTTGGAGTTGTAACGCAGAACTCACATTCGACGACACAACAATGTACACCTCACGTAATAAGCCAGCTAGAATGCCATCCCGATGAATCTTCAGAGGAATACACTCAAAATCTACTCATTTTGCTTCAACAATTTGGAGCATAACCGACAGATTAACAATTAAACAGTATTATTTGTCCATCATCGACATCCACAAATACCCGCAGCCGATTAGAGAGGTAGCATGAAAACAGACTTCAGTGTTTACTAAATATGCAACCGTTTACCTCTAACTTATCCTATTCACTTTACCTTATTCACAAACTGCTCAACACAGTAGAAATAAATTATCGTCTATGTAAAGGCTGAAAACCACCTTCCCATTAAGCAGAGGAAATGGCAACTTTCGGAACCAGGCTAAACGTCGGATGAATTTTTGAGTGTCGCACACCATGCGGTCGTTACCGATGCTGGGAGTACAAGACAGGACAAGGCTAGTCAACAAAGCAGCAGAGATTCATTCCTACCTAGCAATGATGCGCAACCTCACGGGTAAATTAAAAACGCCTCGCATGTCCGCAAAAAGGAGGAGCCTAACATCCGCCCAGTCCTAGAAAAGTAAGTGTTTAATAAACACCTAGCTGCCCCACAGACAACTTTGAAAACTCGCCAATGACCCCTCTTATTTGTACGCTTCAAGAAAACTCGGTCAACCTAGCATAGAAATCCCTTACTTTTCATTTATTTACACACCCCGTACCAAGATCCGCTCACGTACGGAAGTCATATGGAAGGAAGTCGGGGCTCGAGTAAGGTAGCACGAAACAACAGTAAGAGTTCAGGCATGAAAATCACCGGTACCGCCATGTTCGCAATAGGAGTGAAGGAGAGAGGAGTTTGTTGTGGGATTCGAGCTGGGATGGTTTCGAGGTCCACCAAAGCCGTCTAGACTACCTGACCCGGCGGTCGAGGTGTTGCCATCACCAAAGATTCGCTCTGGGGTGTCATACTGATCGAAGGAGAGGGAAAGTTGGAGCTGAGCATAAGGCGTCACCAGGGTGCAGGTCTCGTTTTGGGGAGCAGCCGATCGGAATAGGGCCAGACTGGTGGAGTTGATGGGTGGGGATGGCACCGGCGGACCCACACCATCCCCACCAAGCAGGGCCGGCGGAAGCGCCACGTTCGCGCGTCGGGTCTCAAAGTCCGGCGTGATCAGACCCCCCACCTCGCAGCTATCTAAGACGTTTAGACGGTCAACACTAGTAGTATGCATGGTGGGGGTAAGGCCATTAAGAAGGAAAACGCCCTTGTTGACGTTGTTCCATCCAGCGACAGCAGAAGACTGCGTTGGAATTGAGCTCTCAGCGGTGGAGGGATTGTTTCCGCTGCCCCCACTAACACTAGATCCCATGGTATAGGCGTTTTTTGTGACGTTTTGATGGAGGGTGTGTTCAGGCGATTGTGGTGAATACATAGCTGGTTGCGATGGTGGTAGCTGTTGATGTTGCTGCTGTTGACTGAGAGCGGGTGAATTGGGAAGAGTCACTGGCGCGGGCGATGGGTTGTAGAGGGAGCTGGTTGTTACCGGCACACAGTGATAGGTGATTGGAAATTGAGACGAGGTTTGAGGCTCATGCGTCAGGTATTTTTTAAACTGTACCTCCGGTGCTATGTCCGCTGTTTGATGGGTGGGAGCTTCGTCGTGGACGTTTGAAAGAAGCGTCTTAGCTTGGGGTCGTTTCCACACACACGAAAAGCAGCACGATCTGAAATTGCGCCAAAAGGAACGTAGATGATGACTCACACGGTTTAACGGTGAAATAAAACCCTGAAAAGTAGTGTGAAAAGCGAACGCCGTTGAAGGTCTCAGACCCATGCATAGTTTCCCAAAAATTTCATTATAAGCCGAGAAAACAAAGGTTGGAAATTGAAGCCAGCCACAGAGCAAAGTTTTTATCGACTTCTCAGAAGTACCATATTGTCTCTTCACTTGTTCGATATACGGTCCAACCAAAACAGGCTACAATTAGTAGGTTTTATCTTTCAGAGAGCCATTCCTGTAGTTGTTTGCAAAAATTGCCACACAACGGAACCCAAGACATCCATTAACAGTACCCAATACCATCAGCATCGGTGTGATCACAGATGGCTTTTTTTCGAAAGGGTGTATCGCTGGCTCCAGTGCAATACACACTAACCTCCTGTTACGCTTATCGGACGTGTATTGGCCAAGTTGCTCGGGCGACGCCGCGAAGTACTTGAGTTGTTGCAGATGAATTTGTTGTCCGTCCGGCTGACCAGCAGGTGCGTCTGCGATGGTGAAGGGCTGGTGATGAGGCTGCTGTTGCTGCTGTGAGTCGGTGGTGGCGGTCTTCTGCATTTGCCTCATGAGCTCGCGCTTGAGACGACGATGGCGTCGGTGGAGAACGATAACGACGTGGAGGAGGACCCCAACGGCCATAAGGATGATGAGGCAGACGCCAATGGCGATGTGCAGTGGTTGCAGCACGATGGCGGGTTTTGGTCCGCCCTCCCGAGCAGCCCCTGCATCATCCTCCTGAAGATGCTGTGGCTCCACTCGAAAAGGCGACAAGTAGGTCTCGTCACTCTTCAACATTGAGTTGCCACCCTTCACTGTAAACACAAACGCACACCAACATCACGGTAGAGGCATTTGGCGTAACTGTTGAGATATCATTGTTTCGAATCGACAGCAAACGCGCAGGCAAGTCTTACATGTGCGTGTCTAACCCATTTTCACTGTCTGGTAAATCACTATTTTCCTGTCGTAGAAGAGTACCATAAACAAAGATAGTGGGGTATATCGCACTACCTTTAGATTGTAAATGTCTCAGGGTGAAATGTAATGTTAATGGGACGCGATGGCGAAAACAATATATCACAACTTTATAATAGGATGTAAGACGTCAATAAAGCAGCAAGTAAGTTAACTGCATGAATTGACACTGAAGCTGGTGGCATAAAGGTCTCATTTTAGCAGCATTCTAATGGAAGCCGTTGTTTAAAGCTTAAAAATGTTTCTTGGGCGGTTTCCCCTTAGTAAGACAACATTGAGGCTGGAAACATTGTGAAGAGATTTGCAACAAATGCAATTCGATTCCTCCATATTTGAGCAGACAACTTCGAATAAGGAGACCAGTTTGACATTCTTATAAGACCCGCCAAATTTGCTCGTTTTTAGGTTAAGTACGGAAAGTGAACAAGGGTATTATCATGCTATTTGTCCTGAATGATAAAGAGCCTGACTTACAGAGTGGAATGGAAACTAAACTACTCATTAAACGATGTATTCATGTGTTCCAGGTTGAAGAAATAAAAACTGAGTGCTAAAAAAACTGGGAGAAAGTGGTGCACGAAGTTACAAATCAGTGGTGGAGGTGAGACAGGATTATGTCTCTCTCTTAACGAGAGTGCCAGATTCCATTGGCCATCGTTCCGCTCCGGTTGCGAAGCTGTGATAAACTCAGGGTCTCCATATCACACGTCGTGAAAGAGGATACTCGCAAAAGCGCAGTGACAACCAGCTATTTAATGGCTCAGGGGTGAGAGGAGAAAAGGGAGTGATAATCCATTGTAAAGGGGTCAAAAGTGGACCATCTTGAACTTCGAAAGTCGCCACTTTTCTAGTCGATAATAGTGTCTTTGGTGGGAAAAAAAGACATTTTACTCGCGCAAGAATGCAGACGTAAGTTTGAGCGGTTGCAGACTCCAGTCTTGCCTTCGTGAGAGCTCTACTTTGCGTTCCCTCGTCTATCTCCGAAAATTTTCCCATAGCTGACGCCTTTGCTTTCGCCCTAAAGCCAAATTTTATCGTCTAACGTACTATAGCCGATTATTCAAGTGCTGCTATGGATAAATAATTTTAGTAAGAAAGTAACCCAAGTCCTATTTCGATATACATTGAGGGCCGATCTGATATTCCCTGCACATTGAGCTATTAACGCAAAAAATAAGTGGGCGGTTTAAATTCGGCTCCTCGCTTTCAAACCAATTAACAGATTCCTTGCTCTTGCATCTACAGGACTTTGAAATTTTTGTTGAGGTTGACAGTACAAAGGGCAGGATAGGGAGGGACAGGAATAGCGTGTTGTTATTTAAACTACAATTAAAAAGTCGGTCTGAGTAGTGGGGCCGTAGTGATGAGTTGCCCGATGCAGCCCCGGGGGTGCACAATTCTCCCATGGCCAACAAGGCACACATGCGTGACATGATTTCGATCATTAATTTACTCTTCGTGTAGGATTTTGTGACAGTAATTTGAGACAGAAAACGCACCTGCACCCACCCCCTTTGTTGTGTGTCTGCGCGTGCGCACTCACACGGGAGACGGAGTGAGACAAACGGACCCGTCGGGACGTATTCAACAGTCCCTTAGTCTCCTTCAGTGCATAATTAAAGCAGAGATCCCCCTGGGAGTTGGCTACTCGGCGCGGGTGGAGTTATAGGTGGAGAAAGAGGTGGAAGGAGAGGACGGGGTAGAAGGGGGCAAGTGAATATTACTCAAAACAATGAGTGACTCATTCTTGTGTGATATACTGTTTCTTTTGTTGAACGAGCGACAGCACAGTTCCCCTCCTCATCCTGCCTCTCCAACACTTTAGTATCTCTGTTGTTTTAGAATTACCTCAAGAAGCAACTCAGGTTTAGCAACCAATCTGACCGGTGGCCGAGGTCAGTGCATGCGGGAGCAGACGGTGAAATTGCGATTAACCTACACAGACCACGTAAATGTGAGGAAGGACTTGGAGAGGAGACGATGCGAGTCACAAAACGGACCGCCTTTGCCTTGTAAACTAGAGTAACCACTCTTAATCAGCAGAACACAGACAGCCATTTAACATGCATACATGCAATCCATCGCTGCTCTCGATTGAATCTCAACAGGACGTTGGCCATAGTAGCCTATCCATGATGCTCAATGGTTTTAAAAAGTCGCTAAACCAGACAGTGATCAGCTTTGACAGTGTAATCGGTATCTTCATCTTCAAAATATTCTTTTGTAATCCGTCTGTGAAGCCACCACAATCCATTCGAGGATGAAAGGCAACGTAATGAGTAACACAGGTATTGGTGGAGCATTTGTTCCTAAACGCAAAAAGAAGACTTCAACTTTTAAATGTGCAGGCGTAGACATTATCTTCGACTCCTTGATAAGAATCTTACCAAAAAGACAAGGAGTTAATAATATGGTTTCTCAAAGGCCCCTGAAATACATAAACTTGTCATTGATTTTTGCAAATGCCAAACCCTCATAACTATTGAAGAAGGTGGGTTTCCTAAGGAGTGACGGAGGGCTTGCTCACCGTGAAGGCCTAAACCCGAAGGGGAGGAGAGAGAAAGAGGCACGGGGAGAGGCGAGGATGCGGAAGGCGTAGGGGCACGGCCGAGCCATTGGTTGAAGGGACCATCATTGGCATAGGACGGCCGCTTTCGTTGCTCCCGCGTGGCCGAGACAGCCGATGTCGCAGCCCCAGCCGCAACAGCATTTTTGCGCTTTTTGTGGGGTTCGTTTGCCGCGTTTTGCGAATCCATGAAGAAGTGTGGATGAAACGTATCTTCCTCAGACTTTGGCGAAAACAGGGACAAATCCGATCCTGGCTCAAGGTTTGATATCTCGGGGTTCAGAAAGAATTGGCGGCCTTCCAGCTCCGCCCGAGTGAACTCAAGCTCCTGTGTTGCGTAGATAGGGATAGAAAGGCCAGTTAGTCAATAATGGTATGTATCGTTTGCATCGAATAGGTTTTGGCAAAGCAGATTGTTAGTGGTTTTCCCTTTGACTAGACCATGGTAAGGGATGTTTTTATAAAAGCCGTGGCAGACATTCAAGTTAGCATCTCTAGTATCTGCACAGAGGTATTAACCCATGAGGCATAAAACCATTTAAAATCTCGTAGAATTATCATAAGTCGCTTGGATAAAAATGAAAAAATAACCGAGTATAGCTACTCTCTTATACATATTGCTCACTTGGCCAATATTGCACCAATTGTCGCGACAGCACCGGACGACCGAAGGTAGGGCAAGACTCTCTTCGTCGACATTGAGGTTGTCAAAGCCCCCACTGACTCCGTCACCACCACCGGCCGCGTGCTCGTGACACATCTCAAGCTGCTCCGGCGGCACGCATCCGCGATGCTCGGCAATGAAGAGCCGACTGCCTGCGCCGTACATCTTCAATGTGGCAGAGGTCTTTCGTTCACTGAGCTTCGCCAGTCGGAACGACACGTAGCAGTAGAACTTCGCCCTACACTCGCTCATCTTCGCTGCTCGGCATTCCGCAGTATCGCATTTACAAAGAATGAATCCTAGATCAAACCAGATGTAAAAAAACCTTTTTGGAACTGTGATCTTCAGCTAATCTTACGAAGTTACATCCTTCCCGCCTTCCTTAAGCGTCATTTAAGCTATTGTTTCTCCTCATAACCATCGCATGATGACTAGTGAAATATCATCATAAGACTGCATCTATTGAAACAGAAACGAACTAGCCAAATCCATGCACTTAAGCCATCTGTATGGCGTGACTTGGATGCCCCTCTTAGCTGGCGAAATTGTAATAGTGTTTCACAATCACACAATTTTCAAGGAATTCCAAGGATTGAAGAGGATCAGTCATAAGGATAAATAGAACTGTAGATTCGGCTGCTAGGGCCCTTCCAATGGCAGAGGAGAAGATTCAGACCACGTCAGAAGCCGCGATCTACGGGCTGCCCCAAATCAAACTCGGTCTCCATCCCAATGGCCCAGCTGCCAGTCCTATGGTTTCACAATCGTCTTCAATGATGCGCGCGGATTACGTTTCTCGGCAGTTGGAGATCATGAGTGCCGGCTGTGATAAAATTACCTTTTAAATGGAAATGTAACCATTCCACATGGGTGCAACATGAAAGAAATAGGCCCAAAATTAAGTGAATTACTGTCAAAATGCATACTTGGCCTTAGGGTGCAGCAAGGCATCAAACACCGAGCACCCAAGAAACAGGACACCTGTCATTACTTCCGATTTTGCCAAGTCGCCTCGCCAGAAAAGTGCAAGCCGACAAATGAAACGGCTTGATACTTGATTCGGGTGTGTTTCACGGTGCAGCTGAGCTCTCGAAGAAGCCAAGAGTGCGTGGTGGATGCCTCAGTAAACGCACTTGTGTAAAGACCTTGTCACCCAACAGCGACTTCAAAACACTTCAACCAACCAAAGTTACATTAAGATATTTTGACAAAACTAATGCTCATCATTGAAAAAGGTTTCAAGCAAGGATTAGTCCGAAAGCAAACAGGCGACAGTGACAGAAGGTATCAAGAATGTCTCGATAGATGGTCCTGATAACTCACCCAAATGCACCGCCTAGATGTTACCACAGCGACGATACACTTGTGACGGCTAGTTGGAGCACCACACCTCCATTACATCATCAGATGCCGCGCCGACCCCACTACGGCCTCCCCTTACTCCACCTTCTTCGCTGCCGCCTGAGTGCTAGCTAGATTTTCGCCATTTATTGCCTCAATTAGGGAAGAATCTGGGCTAGTTGTAACGATTTCTCCGGCACAATGTGTATATATGCCTGTGCATGCACACAAATCAAGCCACAATTCACTCTACCGCCACCTTTCACACGGGGAGACGAATTCGGCATAAATAGGACCGACCATTGGTAACGTCCCACCTGTTACGTGACCGAGATCGGCGCCATACCACCTAGACTAGTGCTTTTTCCACATTTCCTCAGAATGTTGTGCAAATAAATACGCTGGTTTTCCGCAAATTTTTTCATCAGTAAGGATGACTTTGTGCATTGAGCAAAGCAACGTAGGCACCGGAAGCTGCTGTGTAAAGGAGGTAGATAGAAAATTGCTTTGTTCCAGTGTGAGCATTTAGCCAACAAGAAAAATTTAACGTTTTCAAGGATGCCAAGGAACAAAATCTTCATCATTTTGCGGATTCTCTAACCTTGTACTTGATATTTTATGTGAAATTTGCACAGAATGTCCATAAAATGTGAACGCAGTGGCTGAGGTTTGAGAGTGGAATTTGCAAAATCCTCTCAGGTCAGGCGAGACCATGGCCACCCACCCACCTCGCGTATCACAGCGACTTCACCTGCGCGCGCTGGCGACAGTCGCCTCCACGCTATCCCTCCAGATTGCACTACACGCAAAAATTCTGTGTCTCTGGTAGCTGACACAAATCTCTGGAATGGAGCTCTCGGCGTAGGGAAGTTTCAGCTATTTGCTCTTGCCTTAAAACTACTGGTGATCGCCACCTTACAATGCCTAGCATTACTGACGGAGGAACATCTGAACAGAGCACACCATACCCTTTATCTATGGTTTGAGTGAGGATTCTACGCTTATCAATGCCCAATGTTCTGATTGAGGGGTACGGGTGCAAGGCATCTCAGGAATTTGAGTTGATCCTCATTCAGGCGTTCACTCTGTTAAATAGCTGTACCACTGAGTTAGCTCTGGCTATTTAATTACTGGCATCGGCCCGCAATATAAGGAAAATGAGTAGTAAAGAGGCACCCGGAGTGCTACACTGAGTTCAACCCACTTAGCAATGCCTGTACCTATGATTTGTACAATAAAAAGCAGCATGAGGTCGAAGATGCATGAGTCACCGCAAAATGGCTACTTCTTGTAAATGACTTTGATGCACGTGTTTTGGCCAGAGCCTGACATCCGTGCGTCTAAGGCAACCTTAAATCGCACATTTCCCTCTCCCTTGTAGAGTGGTTGACCCCTGGTGTCCGCTTAGGCAAGAGCGCAGAGGCACGCGTGACCGAAGTGAAGCTGACAGTTGGAAACGAACAGCAGACCAAGTCAAGTCGGAGGAATAGCATTACAACGATCGTCATATAAAATACGCACGAACACACTTTTCACAATATAGAGGAATGGATAGGTGATATTCCACCAATTTTCAAAGTGGATTGGGGAATTATTGGCGAAGTTCAAAGAATGCAGCCTCTCTACGACACTTCTACATTCGAATCCATAAAACATGTCTCCGTACATCAAGGCAAGTAGTGGCTTCTGCAATTCATAATTGGCTATGATCAACAGCGTCTAAAGTAAAATTTTTCGACTTAAAAGTGAATAGGGGTACCGTCCAGCAAAGAACAATGTCACACCTATTTCAGATGTCAGTCAGATTTCCTCGTATCAAAGAGGAAAGGAATGAAACCCACACTCCTCACAAAAGCTCAACAACTGCGCCCATGAAAATTTATTCTCGCACAATGCAAGCGAAAGCCACCTCACAGTGGAGCGCAACCCACTGTCGAGGCTCCAAAGCTGTGGTCCATTTACTGAAAACCACCGTCAAGATTGACTTATCCTCACTGAAGTATTCTCTTGGATGCGTATT